CAAAAATCTAGGGGGAAATGTACCTGTAAACTTGGGCCTTATCTTTGTAAAGTTCACATTTCTATGTCAACATCTTGATTGTTTTATATGTTACTATAATGACAGGACTCCCTAATAAAAGTATGTTGAAAAAGCCATTCTTCAATGTTATGCTCCTTATTGTGCAATAAAGTTCTTTGCAGAAGGAGAGTCGCTGCGTTATTATGGCTTGCATCATAATCATCACATTTAGAGGGGAAAACATATTAATGGCACAGTCCTCAGACTTGATATGCTAGTTTGGGGCATAGGATTAGGTGTGCTGACAGTTGTAACAGCCCATGTAATGATGTCACTACTGGAAGATACAACAGCAGTATTTAGAGTGAGACTGTAATAAATCTATACCTAAATGAAATTAAACTCACACCATATTATTCACGGCAATTATGTTTACTATATTTCAGAAACTGCCACCCAACTTCTTTGAATCATTCCATCTGCGCTTTCCAGGTAGAATGATTCCCCCTCTCCTTCCCCTGTGTTCCTTTGGGGGTTCCTCTGACACACACCCCTAGCCAATTTGGGGGGCTGTGAGGGGCTCATGGGGGGAGCAGAGGAAGAAAAACTCAATTGCGCAAATGGAAATCTTTGCACAGAGCTTCTGATGATCGGGCTGGCCCTATGTATAGCGTGCAAGAGGAACTCGCTTTGGTACCTTCTTTATTTATAACTAATAGACAGTGGCCAGCATTGCTTGGGAATTCTAACAAGAAAGAAAATCAGTGCAATTTTGAAACCAGTGGTTAAAATCTGTGCAGCTCTGAAAGGTTCAGTCCATCATCTTGATTCAAAATGGCATCCAAACAATGACAAAAACCTGCTCCTTGATCTCAGGAACTATCATGCAAAACTTGCTTGATAGCTTAAGAGGTGAGAAAAACCACTGGAAACAGGCAAAGAAACAACACTTTCCAAAATATATAGTAGATACCTATTTATATTTATTACATCCAGACTTTCTTCTAAATAGCATGCATAGGTCCCCATCCATTCTATCCTCCTGTCGATCTTTGGTGCCTTAGGAGAAAATATGCTAAAAGTAATATGTATCAGTATTTGAGAGTTAGGTATACTTGGCAATGGCATCCTGACAGTGAACCACTCATGGTTTTACTTATCATACTTAAAATGTTTAGAGAAGAATCAAGAGAATATGTCTTTGTAAAATGGGGATGGTTCCACTTCAGGAATTTTGTTTCATGAAAGCATCACACAGATGGTAAGTGAAACCAAACAATGATGAGTCAGTGCCATCTTCTGACCTTTTAGCATAATCCTTGTCTAATGGATGCTGATTACATTTATTACTCAGCCTTCACCAGCAGGTTCCAAGGCAGTCACAGGACCAACATAACATCCATTATGAATACAGTACCAAGAACCATCCTGGATTAATATATAAGGCAATTAGAAACCCTTAATAAAAACAATGGCTAATTTGAAAATTAGGATTTGGGTGATTTTTGATGGAGATGTCAGGGATTGAACCCAGGACCTTTTGCATGCAAACAGATGCTCCACCACTAAGCTGTGACCCTTCTCTCAACTTCTCCTAGGTGATAGGGATAAGGCAAGGGATGGAACAGAGGCAGTCCAGATCACCGAGTACTAGGCAACCATAATAAGCTAACTGCAATCCTATTCATGTCTATTCTAAAGGAAAGTCCCATTGAGATCAATTATTCCCAAGTGGGTATAGTTTTGTAGCCTTAATGTCTCTGAACTGGAGTTTGGTCTCCCTCTGTTTAGTCATTCGGTACACATACAGTGGTGCCTCGCAAGACGAAATTAATTCGTTCTGCGAGTTTTTTCGTCTTGCAAATTTTTTGTCTTGTGAAGCACGGTTTTAACGGTATTAACGGTTTTAAGAAAAAGGAAACAAACTCGCAAGATGTTTTCGTCTTGCGAAGCAAGCCCATAGGGAAATTCGTCTTGCGAAGCAACTCAAAAAACGAAAAACTCTTTTGTCTTGCGAGTTTTTCGTCTTGTAAGGTAAAGGTAAAGGTACCCCTGCCCGTACGGGCCAGTCTTGCCAGACTCTAGGGTTGTGCGCCCATCTCACTCTATAGGCCGGGGGCCAGCGCTGTCCGGAGACACTTCCGGGTCACGTGGCCAGCGTGACAAAGCTGCATCTGGCGAGCCAGCGCAGCACACGGAAACGCCGTTTACCTTCCCGCCAGTAAGCGGTCCCTATTTATCTACTTGCACCCGGGGGTGCTTTCGAACTGCTAGGTTGGCAGGCGCTGGGACCGAACGACGGGAGCGCACCCCGCCGCGGGGATTCGAACCACCGACCTTTCGATCGGCAAGCCCTAGGCACTGAGGCTTTTACCCGCAGCGCCACCCGCGTCCCCAGCAAGGTACCACTGTACAATTTTGACATTTTGGAGTTAAATCGTTCAACACATTTTTCTCTGCAGGATCGGCTCTAAGCATGCATAGATATGTGCTGATGTCTGTGCTTTTTCGGGGGGGGACACAGGGGTACGCATACCCCTAAACATTTTGTGAATCTAAGTTTGACCTCATTGAGGGGCAGTACTTCAATAAGAGTATGAAAATGAGAGCACTGGCTGATATCAACAAGTGTAATGCATGAACTGGGCGACTGCAGTTGGTCGGCAGCAATTGGCATTGTTACAAAAGCTGCAGCACATATGGAATTTGCTACTAACCATCAGTGCTTTTTTAAAAGAGTTATAGTAAACTTATAGTAAGCGCCACACTTTTAACACACTTAAAACATTGTCCAGTGATAGTACGGAACATGAAACTCCAGTCTTGCCTCCTGTGGCTCAAGGAGGCTTTCACAGGGACCCAAGCAGAAATCTCACCAGGCCTGCAGCCTGTGATCCTTTTAACTGGAAATGCAGGGGTTGACTGGGAAACCTATATGCAAAACATGGGCTGAACCCCTGAGTGATGGGTCCTCCCCACTTTTCTAAGTAAGAGAAACACAAAGCTACCTGCCCCAACATTATTTTGAAACAAGCTTTTAAAAATGCAGAAGATAAACACACAGGGAGACCACTCCAGGATTGTAAAATAAATACACTACTGTCTTTGGTAAATCACTGAAATGCCTGTGGAACAACTAAAGTAAAATAGCTTGACGCTGGGACTACTAGCAACAATGGCTTAAATTGCAAAGGATAATCTTACTGTGGAAATATTGGATACACAGATTACTTAGTCTTTAGTAGACTATATAAAGTCAGAGAAAAATACTTGTTTTGGAATTTGAGCTGAAGTTTGAACTCCCACATAAGAAATAAACAGAAACTGGGGAGGGGTGTTCAACTAAGGCTTGTTCAGAAGAGACCCCGTGAAATTAACAGATTTAACTTAGTTCTGTTCATTAATTTAAGTATTTGTGCACTACTGCAGCCAGTCTTTATGCAGGACTCCAGGGCCGTTGGGTTCAAAATGAGGAAGCACAGCCCTCTATGGAGGCATTTCTGACAGTAATGGCAATCAAAGGTAAAAAAAAACCTGAGCCACTCTGAGCACCTCTCCCATTCATGCTTCCTAATAATTTGGAGATATTAGACGAAGTCTTACAGGGGCAAGACCGAAAAGGAAATCTGTCCATCTCATACTGCCAATATGCAAGTCAATGGTGCAGCAAAACTATGTCCAGCTCTGGTTGCCTCGCCCAGAGAGCTGGAAAAGGTTCAGAACAGGGTAAGCAAAATACTCAAGGGGTTGGATGAAGGGTTGAGGCATCTGGGGCTTTTTAGTTGGGGTGTGTGTGTGTGTTACAGGTGTAGAGAAGTTATGCAAGGTGTAAAAGATGATGAGAGCACAGCAGAGGTTATATTTTCTGAGAATCCTCCGGAAAAACAATTTCTCAAAGGACCTATTGATGGCATTTTACCATTGTACTGTTGAGAGTGTATTAACTTGTGGTCTCTGTGTGTGGTTTGGGAGCTGCAGGGCCAGGGGAAAAACAATGCTGTCCAGGGTTGTAAAGACTGCGGAGAGAATAATTGGGTGCACTCTTCCCACCTTGGATCAAATCTATGCTTCCAGGTGCCATAAGAAAGCTGCAGAGATAGTGCAGGATAGTGCGCACCCCGGAAACGATCTCTTTCAGCTTCTGCCTTCTGGAAGAAGGTACAGGGTTATTAAGACTAGGACTAGTCACCTGAGAAACAGTTTCTATCCAAATGCGATTTTGGTTTTAAACACAGTGTAAGGTAGTCTTGGGACACGGGTGGTGCTGTGGGTTAAACCACAGAGCCTAGGGCTTGCCGATCAGAAGGTTGGCGGTTCGAATCCCCGCGACGGGGTGAGCTCCCGTTGCTCGGTCCCTGCTCCTGCCAAGCTAGCAGTTCAAAAGCACATCAAAGTGCAAGTAGATAAATAGGTACCACTCCGGCAGGAAGGTAAACGGCGTTTCTGTGTGCTGCTCTGGTTCGCCAGAAGCGGCTCAGTCAATGCTGGCCACATGCTGGCTCCCTTAGTCAATAAAGCGAGATGAGCGCTGCAACCCCAGAGTCGGCCACGACTGGACCTAATGGTCAGGGGTCCCTTTACCTGAGGTAGTCTTTATGTGAGTATATTGTATTCAATTATGGGGTATCAGAGTTTTTAGGGGCTGACCAGGCTGGGATAGCAGGCTTGTGGGTTTTTGAATGTCTGATGTAGATTTTTTTCAATTTCGTTGTTCTGTTTGTACAATGACAATAAAGATTATCGTATCGTATCAACTCTCTCACGCAACTGCTATGACCAATAACAAAGTTGAAGAAGAAAGCTCATTTTCTTCGTCAGGGTCACGGCGCCTCCTAGTGGAGCCGGCAGGCCTGGGCCGGTTTTTCTTCCCTTTCCTCGAAGCCCCTCGAGCCTCCATCTCCTCAGCGCGTCGAACTCGCAAGAAAGTCCAATGTTTTCCCAGGGAATTTGGCGGCGCCCGGCAGGGAAGCGGCAGGACGCCCGGCGGCGGCGGCGGCGGCGGCGGCTCCCCTGCGCCACATGCCAAGGCAGCTGGACCCCCTTTCCGGCGCGGGCTCGAGCTGGCGACCGCGCGAAACCGGCGCGGGGAGTAACGAGGAGAGCCGCTTGGCGCCCCTGAGAAGCGCTGAGGGAAAACCCGACGTCCCTCTTTGGAGGCTAAGCCGCCTCCCCGCCCGCTTTGCCGACTCCACCCCCAGCGGCCGGTTTCCACGGGGACAAGAGCCCCGCGCCGGAGGCAGAAGGAGGCGGCTGAGGCGCCACCCGCAGCCGCCCTGCCTGGCTGGCTCCTGCGGGTCGCGGGCTGGAGAGGCGCCGCGCGGGACGGGGCTCCCTCGCGAACCGGGGCGCCCTTCTCCCCGCGCCGACGAGGAGCATCCCGCTCTTCCCAGGCGCGGCCCCGGCAGTCTGGCCTCTGCCGCTTGGTGAGGAGGTGCGTTTCCACTCGTAGCCCCCCGTCGGGGACGCGGCTGGCGCGAGGTTTTCTCCTCAGAGGAGAAGCCCCGGATGCAGCCCGGGCACCGTCCCGCTTCGTCCCGCCTGCGGGCCCTTAGTTCGCCCCGGTCTCAGGCACTTGCTGAGGCGAGCGGGCCTTTCCTTCGGCTGCCCTCTACCCTTTCGTGTAAAAAGAGAAATAAACCCCCCATAAGCCCCGTGCATTTTCTGGGCGTGAATCTCTCACGCCTCACCAGAAATTCGCGGGTTTCGTGAAGGGGCGAACTTGGCGAGGGAGGCGCGCGCGGGGCCAGATCGGATCTTCTGAGTTGGAGCGAGGGAGAGCGCTTTGAAACCTCGCCTGAGACCTAGAAACGCTGCCTTTCGATAAATTTTGGATTAATATTGTGTCTAATTTAAGAATTTATGTTTTTGATAAAAATATTTAAAGTTAGAGACATGATATCGGGAAAGTACAAAATAAGATTTGAAATAAGGTGATAATTTGCTGTTTAAAACTTTATAATTGGGAACGCAGGAACGAGAGATGTGAGGAAGTCCAAAAAGTGAAGAAAGTACGGTTATTAACCAATTGATTTTGTTGTTGTATGTTTTTCCCCCTCCTTTTTTATTATGCTTTAATCTTTCTATTCTTTTGTGTCTTTCTTTGTTTATTGTACTTTGGTGATGGTTTTATATGTGTTTGGTGATTATAAATGCCTAAAATCCTTAATAAATATTTTATATATATATAAAAAAGAAACGCTGCCTTTCAACAACAAACAGGGTTCCAGAAATCACATCACAGCTTCTGGGCAGTATCCAGCACCTGAGTGCACTGCCGGATTCACGTATAAAATTTAACAGGGGGAGGAAACTGGATGTACCATTCCAAAATATAAGATAAAAAACAACTACTTTATTTTTATTTCAGTTCAACGATTACTTTGATAAAATACATATTTTGTTAAGTGCAAATGGCTTTAGGTCCATAAATTACCATATGCAGTGGTGTCCAAACTTTTTTCAAAGAGGGCCAGATTTGATGAAGTGAAGGGCCGTGAAGTTGTTGCGCTTTTTTATAATTTTACCCCAAAGTTGTTGAGCTTTTCTTAAGATTGAAGTTGTTGAGGTTTTTTTTTTAGGATTTTACCCCAGGAAATAAACTGCCACAGGGGCCGGATTAAACCGACCAGCGGGCCGGATTAGGCCCCCAAAACGAATTTAGGACATGCCTGCCATATAACATATATTCAACACAAAAAGCAGTGACAATTTGTTGTTGACGAAGGACAGCTGGACATATAAAAGGCCCCATTACCTTCAATAGCTGAGGTCCTCATCAAACCAAAATCCGGCCCTGCCTGAGTGCATTCACTGAACTTTGATATATTTGTGCAGCACAGTGCTCTTTTTCTAGAAAAAGAGGTGCCGGATTTGGCCATTAACTTCTCCCTTGTTCTCTTTGAATGGCGGAGCTGAGCTCCAGTGAGCTCCGGCTCTAAAAAAAAGCCCTGTTTATATGTTACGGAGTTGCAGCATATTGTATTTATATATAACCTCACACAGCAGCATGTTGGCATATGGAAAGGGTTTACACAGCACACAATGGCCTCATTGCCAGGGAATTTTGATGCTGTGAGACATGTTTTCCCCTCTGTCTTAAGATCCAAGTAACAGTGGACTCATTGCCTTCGGTTGTTAATTAGCGTAAGGCAATCACGACAACATGAGTTCATCTAACCCTCTTTTTGAAAAGTCACTGGTGCCTTCTGGGAAATGAAAAAACAAGCTGTATGCATTATTTTTTTTGGCCTGTCTTCTCCAAATCACCCCTTGATGCCTTTGTTTCCTCATCTTTGTCTCTTCCTCCTAGACTTAACATTTATTTCCCATATGGGCTGCCCTTCTCAATATTGAAGCAATATTGAAAGTGAACTGAATTAATATCCTGTCTACAATATTATATTAAAACAAGAGTACAATCAAGTTACACCTTTAGGTGGCAGTTTGAGACTATATTTTATTTTGAAAATGAATACACAGTTTTGTTCATCTGTAATTACTACGGTATATTTGACATGAGAGACATGTGTCCAGTTTTGATTTGTTACAGCCCACCTTTTCTTTATTCAAGAAAAGGAGACCTGTGCTTTAGGTCAAAGCAACCAGCCTTACTTAGTCAGTTAAACTGGGAGATAATGACCTGCCCAAGATGACCGAGTTGGCTTTGTGGCCAAGTGCATAACTGAACTTAGCTTCCACATAGCTCAAATTGCCACTGCACCATACTGATGTCTTTCTCTTCTTGATTATGCGGTTGAAGTAGCTTAGTTTTCTTTTAAAATAATGTCTGGCCCTCAGTCCTGAAAAAGGTGTGTTCAGATATGAAGCTTTCATGTTGCAGCCAGCCTATACCGTGTTTTTATCATTACCTTTCTAGTAGTGAGCTCAGGTGCTGATTGCTGACAAGATTCTAACAGAATTGGGACTACTAGGAATCAAGAGGGAGGTACAGAGTTGTTTGGGAATTCCTGATTCTTGGAAAAGGACAGAAAAACCAAACCCACCACTGAGAACTGGTCATGCTCACTTGCCCCAGAATGTGACTGTCAGCTAGAAAAGAAAATGTGGGGAGGGGAGAGACAATAGTGGAATGTCCTAGTTCCTCTTAGTTTATACTATTCAATAGGTGACTCAGTGAAACATTTTGTTTCATGCCTACTTGCTCCTTCTAATAACAATCTTTGGTGGCTGAGTGCCTATACATTTAGCAGTGAAACTCAGTAGCAGAGAATTCTGCATATCTAAGGAGTCTCCCAACAAATACACACACACACACACACACACACACACTATGTTTTTAAGACATCTCACTACAAGATATTAAAACCATTTGAAATGCATAAACAACGAATTTTTGTTCTTCTATTAACCTGATTTTGCTTGACACTTCAGTGGGCTGGTTTTTGCTACAACCTTGTTGGTGATCCCTACCTGTTAGACAAATGCAAAGGTTAAGAAGGTGGCCCTGAATGTAAAATTTATGACAGAATAGACATTTTACTCATGTGGACTATCCTGTTTGCACTGCCAATAAATAATTAGAATAGCTTTCATGTATAACTGTGTTTGTTTCAACAGATTGAGCATCTGTCTCCTAAGGTAGAATCACTCTGCTGGAAGTGAAATTGATACTGCATGTACACAGAATCTGACATTCTCACGACTTAAGCGGCTAACTTTCTATGGAAGGACAATGTCTGGCACTGTTGGTGATGCTAATAGCCCAAATTCAGTCAAGGCCAAAGGAATCCCATTACATTCTGTAGCTGGTGCTAGCATGGGCTTTCAGCAGCCCAACAAGTCACTAAGCAGAGGATATCATTCAATTCAGAGACTCTCTAGCGTGAGCTATCCAAGAACGGAACAAGAAACAAGTAACACAAATGAACCACCACACAGAAAATGTTTAAGCAGTACCTACATATCAAAATTGGATAATCAACTACTTGAGGATGCAAGCATTCCTGAGACACAGAAACTGAGAATGGTTGCAAGCTGGGCAGAATTGTTTCATGATACATCTGTTGTTTGGGACAACCTGCAGGAAGCTGGAAAATCTACCTTGGATTATGATACAGTGGTTCAAAACAGCAGTGGTGAAGATGCCATAAATAAAAATGCTGGCAATTTGGAAATGAAGTTATTACATGCACATGTTTTAAATCCTTTCATAGCCTCTGAAAATAGCTCGGCGCATGCTGAAAGATGTACTCCTCCTGTTTTTTTATGTTGTAATACATCACCTCATCCTTGCAAGAGTTCTGCTCAAGCAACTAAGCCTGAGAAAGAAGGAAGGGATATTATGCTTTCCACCAACATTTCAGAAGAATGTGAAGTTGAGGGTGACATGCATAGTAGCACAAGAGAAGCCAGTTCTTTAAATGCTCATAATGTAGATGATTCATGTACAATTACAGTGGACCTGCACAAAAATGAAACTTTTTTTTGGCCTCCTCTCAGTGATAGTTCAGATGAGGAATTTGCAGATGTGAAGATTGATTGTCTAAAACTACCAGAGAGCAAGGAACACACAAGCCCTCTTAACAGTGATGTTGAGGCAGAAAATATTAAACTCATCAATTTATCTGTGCTGGAAGGCAGACACTCCTTCACAAAAAGTTCTGACATCTGTGAAAAATGGAATCCAGGAACAGAAAAGCTCTTGGAGATCAAAGAATACGAATGCAAAGATTTCATGTGGACTCTCAAACCTAAAGCTTCCAGTGGGACCAATGATGTTGGAGAGACTACAGACAGAAACATCCCTTTTCATCTCAAAGTAAAAAAAGATGCATTAAGGGATGGGAGTTCAGACTTTCAGCCTCTAAAGAAAGGCATCGATCAGAGAAATGCATTTAAATCTGAGCATATGCTAGGGATGGTTAAAACTCTAGAAAGGAAGAATATCACAGAAGAACAAGCAAATAGTACATCTAATGGAAACCACTGTCACAGAGAAGAAAGGGAAACAGAATTTAAATTCCTGATGAAAGATCCAGCCATGCAAATTAAGAGTTTCTGTGGGAACACATTAATGAACCCTTCAGAAAACAGTACTTCAGTCTGTTTGAATCACAGTTATAAAAGCACTTGCTTGGGCAGTAGTAGTGACTGCGTTTGTTAGACATGCTTCTCCAGTTTACTGATAGTGTAGAACCTAAGTCCAATTCAGTTCCAATATATGTGCACGGTGATATACATGAAAATGTTTCTGAGGGTGTTGCAAAATCAGTAGTAGGTTCTAAAAAGAATACAGAAGAATTTCTTGTCCCAAGAATAAAAGCTGATGGTGATGAGAAGCTATTTTGGAATGACAAATCCCAGTTTGATTCCAACCACAGTGATAGTGTTTTGGCAAAATATTACTTCTATTTGAGTTATCTCAATAAGTCCAAAAGGCTTCAGCAAGAGGTTGACGGCAATCTTCTCTCTTGTCAACAACATTTTGGAATTTCTAAAGAAGCAAAAATATCCGCACTCGACTACCATAAGGGTGGTAATATGTATGAGCATAAGACTACTGAATATACGAAGAATGACGTAAGCTACTGTGAGGATAAAAGTTCTGAGGTTATAAAACAGCAAAGCCTTCCTGAAAAACAGGAATCAAAGTCTTCTTTTTCATGTAACAGTCCTGAACATTTATCTAGTCTATTATTGCCGGAAAAGAAACAATTGGAGAATGGACACATTTTGAAAGGTAAAAATAGACTGATGTTGTCTAGCAGGATTGTGATGTATATATATGATTCCCCCCCTTTTGCATAAAATAATGTGTCGAATTCGCTACATTGTTGTGAACATGGAATATAAGGAGGTATCTGCCAAATTTCATGGAAATGGCTTTATTTCTATAAAGGCTGTGTGGTCTCTGTTTTCTGTGTTACGAACATAGCCTTCAACCCGTTTGTAAACCCATAAACACACAAAATATGATTTATTGTTTTAAAACTCATAGCCTATGCCAATGCGAAGACTTGTATTAAACAACCTAGGCTGCACTTACTTAACTGAGTGCACGCACCACTGAATACAGTGACACTTCTGAGAAGATGTATATAGGATTGCACTTTCCATATGTTGCACGTCAAACTTTTAAGTGCCTTCAGTTAAGCTTCTGTAGCACCCAGAGGCTACTATGTGTGTGCAAAATGAGTTTGAAGATTGCTCTAATGATGACCTGCCTCCTTTCTCAGGGACTTTGTCTGGGGGAAGAGATTCCTGCCTGTTAATGTACTCACCAACCCCCAGGCTTCCTAGCCACTTGGAGTGGCTTGGACCTTCACAAAAAGATGGAGAACATTTAAAAAAGGCAGCCCTTTGACCACCTCATAATAATGGAAGAATATTTAAAAATCAACATTTTTATGTGGATTTTCAGAAACAACCAATAATATGGGACAGAACATACCTGGAACTGGCCACATGCAGAACTGAGACACACTGTAAATAGACTGATCCATCCATTCCTAGCAAAAGTTGGCATTTCTCAAAATAGGCTAGGAAATGCTGGGAATTATGAGTGAATATCTTTCCCAATATATTATTTATTTGTTATGATTCTACTTAATAACATTAGATGAATTCTGAGTGACCTGGTCCCATGCTACTCTAGTAATGTTTGTAGCGTGGAACCAATATTGGGTGGGGTGAACTAGATGGCACTGCCAGCTCTGGGTTCGTTTGCGGCTGTCTCGCATCATGGATATGGCTCCTATGCCTCTGCAATAAAAGGGCAGAAAAAGAAGGCAAAGAACAAGCAGGAGTGCATGGCCAAAACAACATGGCCATTGATCAACATAAAGCTTAGGAAGGCTGGTTTCAAGCCCGATGGGTTATTGCTTGGTCTAATTGCTATGACACCACTCTTGATAATGGAGTACGAGGTGAAGGTCCTCTTCTGGAGGACTCAGCATGTGACACTGCTCTACATTTTCTGGACCAAAACAAGTGTGGTGTGGGAACTCAATGGTCTGTTCTCCCAACACTTCATCATAAAAAGCAGCTGGATCAGAGCTCTAATTTCGATTGGAACAGAAGGGTGAGCTCTAAGGGAGTATAATACAGTTTACCCTTTCCCTTTCTGTGGTGATTTTGTGACTGAATCTCCCTTCAACTCCCTTTATCATGCCCGGTTTCAGCTCCCAAGCAGAGCTAATAGCAGTTTGGAGAGGGGGGATTGATTGTGGAAGTAGGGGAGAAGAGTTAAACATTATCTCCCTAGCACCACCTCTGCTGTCAAAATCAGAGCATCCACAGCTGTTTTAGAGCTTTACTTTCTAATTTGTTTTATGAAAATATTGGGAGAACTGACTATGGATCTCACAGACCATATCTGTTTTGGCCATTTTAAGTTGCCTTTTGTACCATCCATGTCTTACGCTTGGCAGTGAATTAAAAGAGAAGATGGTCTGAATGTATATTTGGGAATGAATTGATGTGTAAATATTGGCGCTGTGGTCTAAACCACTGCGTCTCTTGGGCTTGCCGATCAGAAAGTTGGCAGTTTGAGTCCATGCAACGTGCTGAGGTCCTGTTGCTCTGTCCCAGATAAATAGGTACTGCTGCAGTGGGAAGGTAAATGGTCTTTCTATTGCACCAGAAGTGGTTTAGTCATGCTGGCCATGACTCGGAAAGCTGTCTAGACAAACACCAGTTCCCTCGGCCTGAAGCGAGATGGGCACTGCACCCCATAGTCACCTTTGACTGGGCATAACCATCCAGGGGTCCTTTACCTTTACCTCATATGGAAATACGCATCCATGTTTGTAGATGATTATGTCATAACCCTTGAGTCTGCTTTTATTGTTATGACTATGGAACTACCTGTGACTGCATCGTCTTTTGTAGGCAAGAAGCTTTTGGGGGCCATGAAAATCAGCACAGATGCGCTTGGACTTAAGAGGTGTTCTGAGAGATCCAGCACTGTATGTTCATCTTTCACACAGAGAGAGCTGAAGCCAAGGTTTGCCCTTTTATGTTTTGATATTTACCACCCAGTGATCTGTTATTGAATGTATTTTGTTGGCTTTTGAAAGAAGGATGGGTTTACCCTGATTCCCTGAAGAGAGCCTAAATGAAATGTCTGTGTTAATTTTCCCATGATGTCAAGATTAAAGTTTTACAAAGGAACTAATAGACCATCCCTTAAAAAACAATGGTTTATGTCTTAAAGAGAACTTTGATTTATTGTAGTTTTCCCTGCAGACTTCTTCTCATTTAATTTAAAAGGCTAGTTGGGAAAGTGTTTCATTAGAGCTGATACAAGAAATCCAAATAATAGTTGTAATAACTTTCTACACCTATGTGTACATTTTTTCAGCATCATAATTATATTCATCATGTTTTGTGCTTACATAGGCAGAAATTAGCTGATCATTTTTTTCTTTTGGAATATCTTTTTTGTGAATTAATTTAAGCAATTAAAATACATTATTTGCCTTTTAACTGATTAATTATAATTTAAATAAGTTTGTGTTTTACCAAAACAGCAATATTGGGTGTCTTTTGCAATCATTAAGGATCTGTAAAGTATCTACTTACAATCTAATCCCTGTTACTATACAAAGCTATGTTTAATATTTTGTTCTTTTCTTATAAAATTTAATAACCCCTCAAAGATAAACTCCTGACTACTGGCTATGCTGGCTGTGGTTTGTGAGAGTTGAAGTGCAAAATATTTAGAGGGCCCCAGGCAGGGGAATACTTTTCTAAGTCAAACACTCCATCCATCCATATTGGCTCTTGTGGAGTATTTTCCCCCCATTTAATTTTGTTTGTTTTTCTTTCAACAGATCACAACATACTCAAAGACCAGCACAGACCAGTGAAAGAACAAGGAAAGGAAGTTATAAGTCTCAGAGCCGTCCATCTTCAGGTGTGTGAAATCTGGAGTGACCTACTTGGTGTCAAAGCCTCTGTTCTTATATTTGTTTCTATGCGTTGCATGTGAAAGGGGTGCAGGATTGTGGCAGTTGGCACTGTCCTTGCAGGAAACGAGAGCTGCCCCCACCCTGTTTCCTCATGCTTTGCATTGTGGGAGACTTCAGAATGAGTGGCAGGAAAACATGTGTCTGCAAGAAGATCAAATCTATCCATTCTTAAGGAAATCAGCCCTGAGTGCTCACTGGAAGGACAGATCCTGAAGCTGAGGCTCCAATACTTTGGCCACCTCATGAGAAGAGAAGACTCCCTGGAAAAGACCCTGATGTTGGGAAAGATTGAGGGCACAAGGAGAAGGGGACGACAAAGGACGAGATGGTTGGACAGTGTTCTCAAAGCTACCAACATGAGTTTGACCAAACTGTGGGAGGCAGCGGAAGACAGGAGTGCCTGGCGTGCTCTGGTCCATGGGGTCACAAAGAGATGGACACGACTAAACAACAACAACCATTTTTCTTGATCTTGTACCTAAATGTTTGTAGAATAGGATATATTGCTACAATAAGCCTTCTTACACATTTCTGCTTTAATATAGGCTGCAACCCTTGTAAACAGACCAGTATGCATTCCGTCTCTGAAACAACTGTACCGTGTAAATATCAGAAGAAAACATCTAATAATCAGAACACAAGGAAAAGTTTTCTTAAAAATGCAAATGCATGTAAGTTAATGCCTATATATATATTGTGAACTGAGATACAGCTGTCAATCATTCTGTGGGTTTCTTTTGTTGGGGGGGCATATCTCTTGTTTTTTTCATAGAAGTGAAACCAATTGTATACAGGAAAAAACCCCAAACCCCAATTGGGTATGCATAATCTTCTGGCCCTCACCTAAAACAACTCAGTAGATTTTGGTCCTAATACATTTAGCATGTGATATCCATCACTGGGCAATCCGCACTGTCCACTTTAGTGAAAAGGAAGATGTATATGTGTGAATCAGTTGGACAAGTAAAGTGCCTTTTGATCTGTCAGAAATACGATGAGTGTATTTTCTGATATCTCTGGAAGAGTAACTGCGTTCAGAAAATCTACAGTCCAAACAAAAAACACGTCCCTGCCCTCACAGGTCTCTTGCTTGTGCAAGCTCCTCCATTTATTTCATGGGGAATTTTACTTATTTCTAATGAATTAGGTAGGAAAACCTGGTATGCACATCTCAGCTTCTGTGCCCATAAGAAATATCTGAATTGTGGCATTGCAGTTTTCTTTTTTGTGTATTGAGGTAGATGTTGGAAAATGAGAGTACCCCTAAAAGTTTCTTTTAGGAAAAAAGCACTGGGCATACATGTACAAAGGTTTCAGGGTGAGGCTGAGAAGCTGCACTCTGGTGACAGGAACACAAGAAGCCATCTTATAGCAAGATGAAGGGTCTATCTAGCTCAGCATGGTCTGTTGACAGTCAGCAGCTGCCCAAGAATTTGAACACGAATCTTCCTTTCTCCATCTTTCCTGGAGATGCCATGGTTTGAACCTGGGGTATGCAAAATACAGTAAGTGCTCTACCGCTGAGCATTTTGTGGAAGTGGGTGACATATTTGCAGAATATTATTCTGTGATCCTCAATTCTGCATGGAGAATTAAATGGAGATAAATGTGGAGCACGAGGGTGTTTTTGCATCCAGCACTTCCATTGATTAATTGATTATTTATTTATTAATTTGGAGCTTTTCAGTTCCTCCTCCTCCTCCTCCTCCTCCTCCTCCTCCTCCTCCTCCATGCTTTCCAGAGCCGAGTTGATCTGCCAATGAGCTCCTGAAGCAAACAGAAGGTGTCATGTGAAAAACAACAACACCCAAACCTCTCTTTAGATAAAAGACTTACATTTTTTAAACAATATTTCACAGGGTAATTCAATAGATGAACTATATATAGTCATGATGCAAAAATTGACATGATCCCATTTGAATACTGGGCTTTTCTAAGAGAGCTTCACTATTTGCAGTTATAGCGGAACCCATTGCTGTGCAGTAATTCTTATAGGCTTATGTCTGTTATAGGCTGGTATTAAAAAATATTCAGGCTACAGATTTTTTGAGACACAATGCAATTCAGAAAAGGTCAAGTTATACAATATTTTGATCAAAAGTATTCTGAAAGGTTTGCCGAATTAGTGCAACTTTAGGGGATCCCAAGTCAAATCTTTTTGCTTCCACAGGGACAGAACTCAGACAGGAGCACGAAACTGCTGTTAAAGAATATTATGAAATAAATACAGTAAGTATATTTTATGGTAAGTATATTTTGTGTGCTGAATAACATAGAAGTTAGAAGTTTGGGAAACAATTTTTTAAGATGGGAGACTGATGTGTTTCCGTCCCATCAAGAATAGGCTCCTCACAGTTGCTAGTGAGACAAAGAAAATACAGTTTTGAAATTGGATCAACTGAGTTTTATTTCCTTCCTGTCTTGCTCAGGTGTGTGCCATTGCTTTGTAGTTGAATGGCTGCATTCTGCCCCCTGCCCCCCCTTATTTGGCACAACACACAGGAATCTTTTTGATTTTTAGGAATGGCATAGTGACAGCAAGTTCTTACCATGGCTCCTTCTTCCTGATGAATTGTGGCTTTGCATCTTCTCTCTGCTGACTCATAAAGATATTACTCGGGTTTCCCAAGTTTGTCAACGTTTTTATCGGCTTGCAGGAGATGAGTCCTTCTGTAAGTACCTTTGGGAATGGATAAATAGTAAGGTAACCAGCCTGGCAAATTCAGGCACCATGGTGCCTGCAAAGGCTTTCACTGGTGCCCTGGGCGGGTGACCCAGGTTCTGAGGTTTCATGTGGAGCGGGGAGTCCCTAGTCCTCCTAAAGAGAAAGTTATTGAGCAAAATGTGAAAGCACCTTCTAAGCAATTTCTGTGAAATGAGATCATGTATGGGCATCTTGTACTGGTTCTGAGGAATGTTCCTTGCTGCTATTAGATAGCAACAGCATCAGTGTATGTTTGTTTAAATCAATATTCAGGACCAGTCAATGATCAGGACCAGTAGGACATAGCTGACTTAGTACGGTAAGCATAAGATTGTCAGGGAGGCTGTCTTGTCTAATTTTGTCTTACACCACACACTCCCTGGCAGCCATTTTGTTATGTCACATCCCCACATAGCAGCTATTTTTTGACTGGCGCCTCCACACCCTCAAAATTTGATATATGCCTGTTGGTCCAGAAAAATCCCCCCTCCCATTCTACACACAGAAACTGACTGTATGGGCAGATGAAAATTACTTCAGTGGTGGTGATGAGACATCTGAAGGTAGAAGGCTAGAAGGTAGAAGTCCACCTAAACATTAGGAAGAACTTCCTGACAGTAAAAGCTGTTCGACAGTGGAATTTGCTGCCAAGGAGTGTGGTGGAGTCTCCGTCTTTGGAGGTCTTTAAGCAGAGGCTTGACAACCATATGTCAGGAGTGCTCTGATGGTGTTTCCTGCTTGGCAGGGGGTTGGACTTGATGGCCCTTGTGATCTATTCCAACTCTATGATTCTATGATTCTAAGGCTTGCTTTCAGGGTGCCAGGCAGCCTACATGGTGCACACAGCTCTGCGTCCTCCCCCACCCCATTGCCCCCCACTCACTGCTCTTCCTGGTGCTTGCTCTCTGCCAATTTGGAACACATACTGTAATGGTGTGAGCAGGCTTAGCATTAGTAGAGCAATGCTTGTGATACCTGCTGGAACCTGTTGCATTGCATCCATTGTCAGTCATACTCAGAGTAGGCCCACTGAAATTAATCGACATGATTAGCTTAGGTCTATTAATTTTAGTGGGTTTACTCTGAAAAGAATTAGCACTGTGATACAGCCAGTTATACATATTGTGTATGTTTTCCTGCCTCACAAAATAGTAAATCCACGTCTATCTATCGTCTACCTATCATCAAAGAATCCAGCAGACTCCTTTGATGGATCCAAGTCACTTCTATGAACAGAAGGAGGCCTTCTGCTTACAGAAGGTCCGGATCCAACCTGCCACGTGGGGCAGAGCTGCTATACTACCTTCTGGACAGGTGGGTTGCTACTGCATCCAAGGAGGCAGGGGTGAGGTTGGAGTGGTGCAAATGCACAGATGAAGCCAATCCAGCACTCCTGCTGGTGTGTTTGCACTGTGCCAGTCTTTCTGCCACTTTACCCCTTGCTCCTACTGGTAGGCAAGAGCAACTTTCCTTCTGAGAAGCTAGGAAAGAGCAGCTCTGTCCCACTGCATGAGCCATTTCTGGCTACAGAGCCATGGCTTCTTATCTTTGGATAATGAAGGGGCCTTGTAATTTTTCTACAGAGAAATTAAGCTTCTCATTTTACTACTTCCTTCCTTAAAAAGGAAAAACAGAAACAAAACGATGTTTGTTTAAAGTGCCAGATCCCATTGTATGAAAGTGGGCCAGCTCCTGCTGGCAAATTTCTGAGAAAAGGAGCGTGCTTAGGGCTGTGGCTAGGGAGGAAAACAAACTGAAGGTCAACTGCTGTAGCAGGTACACCTGCGCTTGTGTCACATTCCCACACTGAATTCCAAAGCAAATACTGAACACCTTGGGCAAACAAAGGTGGGCAATTAGACAAAGCCAAGTGCTGCAATTCACTAATGCTGCATAAATGTTGTAGAAGCGAATGCCTCTTTGAGTTTTGCTTTGTTTTTAATAACCAAGGTTAGCGTTATGCCTGATCTTTGAATCTTTACAGAAAACTTCTGATTTGTTTTGTTGTTGAAGCAGCTTGCAAACAAGAGAGAAAAGAGCAAATTTATGGCAAAAGTTTCAGTAAGGGGAGGGAATGGGTGAACATATGTATGAACTTCAGTAAATAAGCCAAACAGTAAAATAAGTTTGATTTCCTGGAGGGCAGGTAATGCAGAGTTCTTTGTGGTGACCTTTGTGGTGAACTTTCCGGTGACTTGGATGCAGCCAGGATTGCCCGACATATCTTTTATTTCTTTTGATTTTCTGAAGTGAATGCTTTCTGCATGGTTGGTGTTGCAAACAAGGTTTAAACTTTATGGGAAGAAAATTGAAGGAAATAATGATTGAGCAGGAGGAAACAAGGAAATAACTTTCAAGCAATATGATTACCAGGATCCAAAGAGGCTGACGTGAAGCTGGGAATACACGCTGAGCCTTACCTTCCGAACGCTCACCACTTTCGGTGGGGCATTCAGATTGAGGCCAAAGATGCACCATGCATTTAAAACACTATTATACCACTTCAATAGTTACAGCTTTCCGCGAAGAATCCTGAGAACTGTAGTTTGTTGAGGATGCTGAGAGTTGATAGGGGACCTGTATTACTCTCACAGTGCTACAATTCCCAGAGTTCAATGGGAAGAGGGACCAATTTTTAAACCAGTCTGGAAATGGTAGCTCTGTGAGGGGAATAGGGAAGCCATGATTGTTAAAGTAGGGTAATACTGCTTTAAATGTGTGGTGCAAATGTGGCCTAAAGATAAAGGTAAAGGGACCCCTGACCATTAGGTCCAGTCGTGGCCGACTCTGGGGTTGAGGCGCTTATCTTGCTTTATTGGCCGAGGGAGCCAGCGTACAGCTTCCAGGTCATGTGGCCAGCATGACTAAGCCGCTTCTGGCGAACCAGAGCAGCGCACGGAAACGCTGTTTACCTTCCCGCCGGAGTGGTACCTATTTATCTACTTGCACTTTGACGTGCTTTCGAACTGCTAGGTTGGCAGGAGCTGGGACAGAGCAACGGGAGCTCACCCTGTCGCAGGGATTCGAACTGCCGACCTTCTGATAGGCAAGTCCTAGGCTCTGTGGTTTAACCCACAGCGCCACCCATGTCCCTTGCACATGTGGCCTAAATTGTACCTAAAACAGCACTCTTCTTTCTAACAATTGAATCTTGCTTAACAGATTCTGAATGTTTTCACAGAACATAAAATGTTAGCAGTAACAGCCAAGGCAATGGGCAGGCTACAGAGGGTTGCTTGTGCTTTCATGGGCTAGGAGTGGGGCCAAAGAGAAGCTTTTGGGAGCACTCTACCATGGAAAAAAGCAGTGCTGGAAACAGCCATAGATGAGACATGAAAAGGAGGAGGCTACTATGAGTTGAAGACCATATTGAAAAACTGAAGGACCCCCAAACTGTCATACATGGGTGTTCAGAGGGTGCTGGTGTACAAAAAAGTCCCCTGATTCCACCTTCCACACTAAGGTTGGACTGAATACCTTCCCTCCCTCATCTTTTCTTGTTTTGGAAAAGTTAAACTAATAAATCGGTAACAGTTTGTTTGCACAGCTTATAACAGATGACTCTGCTTTGAAAGAGCACTTGATCTATGAGCTGTTTGTACCAAGCAAAACTTCACCCCTAAATAAAACACTCTTGAACACAGGAATATGCGTGATTTGCAGCCCTAAAAATGGTACTGCTTCTCATAGAATAATGTTCATTCATGCAGTGAGTATTTGAAATTTCTCTGCGTTCCTTGGCAGTGGTGGTGGTATTATCCTTATTTAGACTGCTGTATCTATCTTTGCTTCCTGTAGAGGAGAGGTGACTAACCTGTGGCCCTCCATATGTTGCTGGACTTCCCGCTCCTAGCCAATATGGCCAATGGCTGGGGATGATGGGAGTTGTTGCCCAACAACAACTGCACACCTCTGTTGTTGAGAAACATCAGCATTTCACTGTTGTTCTAAATTGCCTCTCACTCCTCAAGGGACTCTGTGGCACATGTGGAGAGCAAATTTATAAATATCACACAATAAAGAAAAAAAGAGAGAGGAAATGTAACATCAGAATGAGGGCATAAATTTTTACAAATGTTGTATATGCTAATGCACTTGTCAAACTGTTAATTATTTATGGACAACTTCAAGGCCCCTGCTCTTCCTTCTTATAGTTATTTATCTTTAGACTGGACTTAGACCAGATAGCCATTGAAATAGAGTACTGAGGATGCGTGACCATCCTAGAGGTCAAGCTGAACCAGGCTTTATGAGCCGGTGTGATGGAGTAAAGTGTTGAACTGGGAAGAGGGAGACCTGCATTCGAATCCCCACTCTGCTATGAAGCTCACTGGGTAAACTTGAGATGGTCGCTCCAGCCTCACCCACCTCACAGGATTGTTCAGAGGATAAAATAAAGACAGTGAAAGACTATGAATGCTGTCTCTGAGCTTGGATGAAGGGTGATATTAAATCATCCTAAGTTCAGTGGAGAGTCTACATCCCTTTGTAGAGCCACGGCTGCTCCTGGGGGAGTTTATATGGTGGTGTGATCAACCACACACCAGGAAAGGTGAAGATGGATAAATTAAGAGCTGTTGAGGCTTTGAGGGGGAGCCAATCAGACACATGATTGGTATATGGGAGACCATTGCCAAAATAACATGGCTCTGTCCTAGCTCTTGAAAATAGCCAGGGTCAAGGCTCGAAACTGGGCTCCTGACCATCAAAATATACGGAAAATGGTTTAACCTCAAACTGCATATTTCCAAACCATTTTATCTGTACCAATCCATACAATTAACTCTGGGATTCATATTCAATTTATTTATGCATATATAGAACATCTATCTTTTTTCCTTTTTTGAAACAGACAGGATCAAATGCTGTGTCAAGTGATTAGTCACTGTTGGGAAGCAAGGGTGCAGCCAGGACTTTCGTTGGGGAGGGGGGACAGAACCGACGTGATTGGTCAGTTGGTTAAGTATTTCTATTGTTTTTATTGCTCTAGAGGAAGCAGCTCCCCCCCCCGTCCCCCCTTAGCTACATCCATGTTGGAAACCAATCTATGAGTTTTTAAATGTGTAGGGCACGTAGCAATTTTCATCAAACTTTTGCTACCTCCTTGCACTGTTTCTTGGCCAAGTCTCCTTAACAGTTTACCCAACAGCTGAATGCTAATTCCGTTGCTATGTACACTAGTGAGTGACGATAACAGGACACACAGGAGGAGAGTCAAACCCTTCAAAGAGCCCTTTCCTTGCAAATACGTCTGGATGACTTACTCAGTTCTTGAAAACCTCTTCCCACAGTACTGCTGACAACAGGAATCAAATGGCTCCCTGCCCCACACACATTAAAGCAGTTTCATTAAAACAAAGTGTTTAGCTCTTTCCGCTTCATTCTAGGGATGCTAAGGCCTGAGACTTTTATCTCTCTTTCCTTGGCCACAGCACATGCGGGGGGCTGCTAGTCAGTCACCTGTAGCTTAACATACCCTGACGGAAGGAGCTGGGTTCTTAAACACAAGAAAGAGACCAGGGAACTAACAAAGGAGGGATCAGCTGGGAGTGAACCACAGGGAACAAAATCATTTTCACCAGTTGAGGATTAAAAGCTGTTTCCCCCAAGAAGGGTGGTGAGCAGGGGAAGGCTTGGAGACAAACACTTTTGGATACTGCCAGGATTTGTATTTGGCAGAAATGCTGGGCTTTTAACAAGCCTGAGGCTACGTGAATATGTGCATATAATTTCAGGTGGTTATTCTTTTCTTTTTTGGGGATGTTAATGGGTTGTTTAATGCTGGGGCTAATAAGCTGGGTCTTGCGCACAGAGTCAAGCAGTGCAGAACTAATTAGCTGACATCATCAGCGCTGTTGCTGGAGGAAGTTGATACAAGGGAGCTGAACGGCACAATCTGATTCTGGGAATGAAACCGGGCATGACCGACGGCTCAGCTATTCTTCATGCAAGGCTGGACCTAGTTGTGAGCAGCGGTCCTCAAGTTACTCAAATCTGATTAGTTTGTTAGGCTGGAAACAAAGGTAGCTATTGTACTAATTGGATACTTCTGCTTTTTTTATTTATCTACTTGATTGACAAATTTATATACCAGCCTTCATCAAACAGATTCCAGACTAGTTTACAATAAAACAATGTAAGCCACAACATGCAAAAACAGAAGAATTTTAAAAGCAGCAGTAAGATGTAATAAAGAAAATGTTTTACTGCTCTTAAGATGTATTGCTCCTCATGTGAAAACAGTTATGGCATAGGTGAAAGACCATCAGTATGTACAAAGTAAGAATTCCTCAGTTTTTGTTTCTTATTTTTCCAGTGTTAAGTTCATATTGCTACATTTCCATATCAACTTTTTTTAAAAGCCTTCACAAAACTTCATTAGCATTTTAGTGCACAATTGTTCAAATAAACTTTTTTTTGCACTTTTTCTTAATAAGCACATTTCTTCAAATAATTCCCGAATGTAATATATTTTGTGTGCTTGTTATTGCTGCGGACATTTCCCCTAGTATATGAATTTCTGTGCACATTTTGTCTGAGAACTGCACCACAAAATTCAGATAAATGTGAATTTGGAAGAATAGCTGCATCTCAGGTAGCAGATTGTTATGGGAAGTAAGAACTAGTTAAGAATTTCTCCCCCTTCCCTAATAATATGAGGTGCTAAGGTTGGGAATTCATTTCCTGATTCCTGGGTTTGTATAGGGACGCGGGTGGCGCTGTGGGTTAAAGCCTCAGTACCTAGGACTTGCCGATCGAAAGGTCGGCGGTTCGAATCCCCGCGGCGGGGTGCGCTCCCGTCGCTCGGTCCCAGCGCCTGCCAACCTAGCAGTTCGAAAGCACCCCCAGGTGCAAGTAGATAAATAGGGACCGCTTACCAGCGGGAAGGTAAACAACGTTTCCGTGTGCTGCGCTGGCTCACCAGATGCAGCTTGTCACGCTGGCCACGTGACCCGGAAGTGTCTCCGGACAGGGCTGGCCCTCGGCCTCTTGAGTGAGATGGGCGCACAACCCTAGAGTCTGTCAAGACTGGCCCGTACGGGCAGGGGTACCTTTACCTAGGCTCTGTATGTTTGCTAGTTATAGAATCATAGAGTTGGAATAGACCACAAGGGCCATCGAGTCCAACCCCCTGCCAAGCAGGAAACACCATCAGAGCACTCCTGACATATGGTTGTCAAGCCTCTACTTAAAGACCTCCAAAGAAGGAGACTCCACCACACTTCTTGGCAGCAAATTCCACTGTCGAACAGCTCTTACTGTCAGGAAGTTCTTCCTAATGTTTAGGTGGAATCTTCTTTCTTGTAGTTTGGATCCATTGCTCCGTGTCCGCTTCTCTGGAGCAGCAGAAAACAACCTTTCTCCCTCCTCTATATGACATCCTTTTATATATTTGAACATGGCTATCATATCACCCCTTAACCTCCTCTTCTCCAGGCTAAACATGCCCAGCTCCCTTAGCCGTTCCTCATAAGGCATCGTTTCCAGGCCTTTGACCATTTTGGTTGCCCTCCTCATATTATCCTATATCCTGGAGTCATTGGTCCTCATATGCTATTTTGTTTTGTTTATGACATTTTATCTGGAATAGAGCATCTCTCTTTATTATGACAAAATGTATATCGTTGCATTCTTACACTGCTGCCTATTATATTTAAAATGCATTCACTAGAATTTCCTCCTCTCCCAAGACTTTTGTTTCCCCCACGTGCTTTCTGTTAAGTTTCTACGATAGGTATGGGTTGTCTGCTCTCTCTGCTAGATGTTGTGCTTTTCAAAAACTATTTTAATTGGTTTATCCATTTTTATATACAAAAAGAGTCTCATACATCTTATGAATAAATGAATGAATGATGGATCACATAGGTCTCCTTTCATGCCTTCTGTCCCTTTTTTATTCTCCCCTCCCCACCTTGTTGCCATAGTGTATCCCATGCAAAGGGGCAGGTTATCTGTAGGGATGATTCCCTATGCTTCTCCACAATTCCAGGAGTGCTTTCCACAGTTCTGTATCCTCTGCTCATCTGCACTACCACCACAAACAAAGGCCTTTGGCATCAACTTTAGCATTGTGAGAACCTCTGTTTTGATTTAAATCAGCATGCTAGTGTGTAGCCCTCTTAAGGTTTTCAAACTAACTTGAATCTATGTGCTGGAGCAAAGTAGAGTTAAAAATCAAGCTGTTGTGGCTATACTTCTGAACATATGATGTGATTGCTTATTTGCCATTGATGTCAATAAATCCTTAGGAGTAATAAGATTTGGCATTGGAGGCTACTTGACTAAATAGTAAGTACTAGTGATAGCATATTCCAGGAACACATTATTCTTAACTCTTGACTTGTCTTTAATTTTCATTTTCAGGGTGTTATGTACTGAAGTTCTCACCCTGGGCCAGCAGGGGGATACTGTAGATAGTTATGCAAATGAAGGATCGAAAAGTGACGTTCAGTGATTGGATAGTTTTGTATGCAAATGAAGGATCAAAAAGTGACGTTCAGTGATTGGATAGTTTTAGAAAATGGCAACAGTTGCATTGTTCTAGAGCTCTATATAAGCAGGCTGACTGAGCTCCTCAGCCTAGTTCTGTTCTGGCATCTGAATAAAGAAGAGCTGTTTAAAGAATCGCTGTGTCGTCTGACATGTTCGCCCACAACTTAACACAGGGCAAAGCCTTTGTTTGCCTCAATATTATTTCTGTTGTTTAGTTAAAAAGTAATAATAATAAAATGCTATAAGTATCAGTCTGCAGATTAAAAAACCTGGCTTCTATATCCCCAGGGAAGGAGATCCACCTGACGAACTGCCACTGCTTGAATGATGAGTGGTTGATCAGTTTGGGGAGTCGCCACCCCCGATGTTTCACTCTTGATCATTGCCACGATGAAGCCCAGAGAATTACTGATGCGGGATTAAAACAGTTCTTCCAGCACTGTGGAGAATCTCTTAAGGTAGCACTGTGCTTTTGGAGAAACGTCATTTTGTCTCTGCAATTGCCATAAAACTTTAATGATGAATAACATTTTATTATTATTATTAGCATTTTACTAAGAGCTTGGACTGTGGACTTCTATGTGAACTTAATTTTAAAAACCTTTAGAAATAATAACCTATACTATGTACATAAAAAGTGGGTACCAGAGCTCCCCCCCCCGATGTTGCTGCACTACAGCTGCCATCATCTCTGATGATTAGTCAGGCTGGTGGGGCTAATGGAAGCTCCACCACCTTTCAAAGGCATGTTTTCTTGGAGGGGCAAGAGGTCTTCCACACAGTGGTTTGCTGAAATGCTGTATGCAAGGTCTATCCACCCTCCATTAAACAGCTTGTCTGGTGTCCCTGCTGTCCCTCATGCTGTAGCTGGCGTGGTTGCATGTTGGCAGTCACACTAACTGCAGAGTGTGATGGCATCTTACATAGTAAGGGAATACATAATATTCCCTGTTGAATATACACAGTTGCATCCTTACATTCAAGTGGCATCCTTATATTCAATAAGTACTTACAGTTTACAAATATTTGGCAGTAGGACAAAGGATATCACTCCAGGCACTTGGCATATTCCAGCATATTTGGGAGTTATATCAGAGAGGACAAAATATTCCACAGCTCTGAAGTTTAGTTCCTGTAAAATATTTACTGGTTCAGTTTAGAAAAACAAAGCCATATTCTGGATCCTCACTTGACAAGGCAAATAATCAGTGAAGCCATACGTTATGCTACATTAGATAAAGGTAAAGGGACCCCTGACCATTAGGTCCAGTCGTGGCCGACTCTGGGGTTGCGGTGCTCATCTTGCTTTATTGGCCGAGGGAGCCGGTGTACAGCTTCCGGGTCACGTGGCCAGCATGACTAAGCCCCTTCTGGCAAACCAGAGTAGCGCATGGAAACACTGTTTACCTTTCCGCCAGAGCAGTACCCATTTATCTACTTGAACTGTGATGTGCTTTTGAACTTCTAGGTTGGCAGGAGCTGGGACTGAGCAACAGGAGCTCACCCCATTGTGGGGATTTGAACCACCGACCTTCTGATTGGCAAGCCCTAGGCTCTGTGGTTTAACCCACAACACCACCTGTGTCCCGTATTCATACAGTAGTGAATAAAATAAAGGTTTAGTTGAGCAAATCTTGATACAAGCTGAATTCAAGGACCCTGTGATATCTGTGGAAATGAGCACAGAAGCAGGTGCACTGGACAGGCAATTAAAGCAGACTCGAAATTGGGAGGTGGGATTAGACAAAAGAGGAACTGCAGGAACAGGCCATCTCCTACTGAGCCTAGAAGTGGCATCCCAGAGGGAGAATAGGTGGTGTAGATTTCATGCAAATGCATTATAATGAGATGTGTGGGCTGCTTATATCTACAGATGAACGAACAATTAATATATTGTTCAGTTTTTGAAAAATCAAAATGATTAATTCTGTTATTTACTGAATGAATTCAATTCTCATTTGAATACTTTAAGAGAGAAATTGAGAAAGAGAATGAAAAAGGCCCACAAGAGGGAGCTCATCATGCCATATGATAGATAATACTGTAGATAAACTCTTCATATTAACATTTACAGATAGGTAGCCGTGTTGGTCTGCCATAGTCAAAACAAAAAAAATTCCTTCCAGTAGCACCTTAAAGACCAGCTAAGTTAGTTCTTGGTATGAGCTTTCGTGTGCATGCACACTGCATGTGTGTATCTGAAGAAGTGTGCATGCACACGAAAGCTCATACCAAGAACTAACTTAGTTGGTCTTTAAGGTGCTACTGGAAGGAATTTTCTTCATATTAATTTAGCAAAATATGTACACTCCACATACAGCTGAGTAATTCATAGAATTGAGTAATGTCCATTTTACTTACAACTTTGTGCTGTGTGGGGGTCTAGTTGTTGTTGTTGCTGTTCTAAGTAAATAATGTGGGGTTTTTTAAAATGTATTTTTAAACCCTAAGCTATGACTTTTACAGCTTAGAACGTAGCCTACTGTACAAATGTAAGAATCACATGCCTAGCCTACTTTGTTGTGCCTTTGAACCTGCCCTCATATTGTCTCTGACCCCCACCCCTGATTGTAAATGAAGAAATCACTGAAAATGTAGATTCCAGAAACAGCTCTTCACTCCCCACAATATATACCACTTAAAAGCATTGTTAGATGTTGCCCTGTTGGTCTGAAACCATAGATAAGAATATTAGTAATCGGGCGCCTCACTTGCTTAAAAAGTGTAGCTGAGTAACAAAAGGAGTTTAGTTAATTTATTAAATCTGCATGTATTTACATCTGCATTAAAACAGTAGTTGGAAATAGAAACAAATTGTGGCAAAAACACCTTGATGTTGACTAAGTTTTAGCATGCTCACAAGTTCCCTTCACTCAAAACTGACATAGGGACATAGGGATTATAAAAAATGAATGGCAACATTTCAGAACACACTTTTTGTTTTTTATGAATGCAAAGCTCAATGTGGATATTTTCTATCATGTCTTTTTAAAGTTGTAAATTTTATACAGGTCAAGCCATAGATGTTTACTTGTAAATTTTAAAAGTTTTAAAGTTGACCCATTTGTAGCCACACATATTTCCACCATTAGCACTCTGAAGTTTTATGAATATTGGTTTAGCTATTAAAAGTTAGAGCCTAATAGCCTTCATTAAGAACATTACTATTAGCTAACACTAGGGGAGGAATTTGGTTAAGTTTTCATTCAAAGGCAAATTTACTTAATTTCCAGAACAATAAACTAACCAAAATACCGTATTTTTCGCTCTGTAAGACGCACCAGACCACAAGACGCACCTAGTTTTTGGAGGAGGAAAACAAAAAAAATATTCTGAATCTCAGAAGCCAGAACAGCAAGAGGAATTGCTATGCAGTGAAAGCAACAATCCCTCTTGCTGTTCTGGCTTCTGGGATAGCTGCGCAGCCTGCATTCGCTCCATAAGACGCACACACATTTCCCCTTACTTTTTAGGAGGGAAAAAGTGAGTCTTATAGAGCAAAAAATACGGTATATCCTTCAAAATTTGCAGTTATCTGAATTTGGCAGTATAGTTCTGCAGGCAAGAAAATGTGTAGAAAATGCATATGCTATTTATATTATTTATTAGATTTGTATCCTCCCTTTCCTTACAAAAGAACCCAGGGTGGCATGTGACTAAGGTAAAGTGTGCAGACAACTGCATTTATTAGTGAAAGTCACATACAAAAATTAATTTTAGAAATATTAGAAAAAAAATGCTTTGCAAAAATGTGTATACAGTATTGGGATAAATTTGTTCTGATTAATTTCCATAAGGACTTTAAAAAATAATAATTGCAAACTGATAAAGAAATGTGGAGAACTGAACTTGAGAATGGGAAAATGAGAAAAACCAAAGTGGACAGATTCATCCATCCCTACTGACAGTGAAGTCACTGGATCTAAAGCTGCCTGCTAAGAAATAAGTGAAGCTCCAGCTAGCATAAAAGCAAACCAAAGGAAATGATGTTTTACTTCTTGATTGGAAGGATCCCAGTTTTGTATTTTCTTATGCTTTTTACAATATAGTATTTTCCTGATCTGTGACATAAGAATTATTTATTGTTAGCTCAAATGAGGGCAAGGAGTGTGTTTGCATGCGTCTGCAGTGGAAACATCTAAATGAACCATGACCGAAGCAGAGCAGGAGATAACAATTTGATATGCAAGCCAACAAGATTACTTTGTTTTCTGTGAAATCTGAAGAGCCATGAAAGTGCTGAATATTTGCTGCAACTCACAGTTGAGGCTGAAATTAGTGCAGTAGGAATCTCAATAATATTCATTGACCTTGCAGACATCTCATTTATGATAAGGCCATGGTCTGAAGACACATGATCCAGCTACCTTTCAGGAACTAAGCAGGTGTAGAGCTGGTCAGTGGCGACAAACTACGAACCCTATGTATTCTACCTTGGTAGCATTATATAAATAAAGCCTGATTTCATAAAAGCTTTGCGTAGGGTCTAGTTAAAAGGAAAATGTGCTGTATAAAATATGTGGAAGGCACTTTGCTCCAATGAAGGCTTCCATCAGTCGGACCTGGAGGCCCGTGTTGGGTTGGGGATTTGTGTGTATGCATGTGCCAATTTCACCTTCACTCCTGTAGCCCAACCACATCTCTCACAAATCTGCTTCAGAGAATTGAGGCCCTTTGGAACAATGTGGGAGGTACAGTGGAGAGAAGGGGATGAATTAAAACGGCTTGCCTCCCTGTTCTGCTGATAGAAGCCTCTGTCAGTAAGAGGACACTGAATACCACCCCCTCTTTTATTTATTTAATTCTGGCATTCCTAACCCCTAAATGAGGTTGCTTGAAAATGTTATGACAATATTTAAAAGCATATTATTATTATTATTATTATTATTATTATTATTATTATCAAAGAAGAAAAGTCATTTTAATGAACCCACACTTGGATTTTCTTTTGCACATAGGAACTGAATATAAAAAGCTGCAGTGGTCCTGGATTTAGAGGGGACAAAGTTCTGCTTTGTGCAAGCACCTTTTGCCATAACCTGACAACTGTAGATATTAGCTGGACAGGAGCTACTGATTCAGGACTCATTGCCTTAGTAGCATCATCTGTAAGGTACAATTGAAAACCCAAACATTTGTTGTTCTTCATACTGTTGCGCACAACTAGGTACCATTTTGTAGAAGGGATCTGTAGAAACAAGGAGATTAAGGGGTCCTCCAGACTAGGGTTTTTTTTGGAGGGTGTATATTGCAACATATTTTGCATTTAACAGGTGAGGATGGAACATGGAGGCTGAGAAATACATGACCAGCCATAGCAAATAATTAGTTAACTAAATGCCAGCCATAGTAAATGTTTTGTTGTTGTTGTTACTTGCTGTTGTTAAACTGTTGGGAGACAGAAACCCTGTCTATCTATTTCAGGTCTTTGAGAAATCTACTAGTCTACCATTTGCCCCTGATCTATACAACCTTTCATGCTTTCAGGTGTCTTCCTATGTAGGTAGAATATCTGTGTAGAGAAATCATAACATAAGCTCAAATCTGGGCTGCATATTGCTTAATTGCTCAAATAAAAGAAGATAATTGTTGTTGCTTTCTGTTTTAGATTGCAGTGCCTTTCTACTAATGGTTGCCGGATTACAGATGATGCAGTAACTGCCTTGATTGAAAAGCATGGGAAAAGGTAATTCATATTCCAGCAGTAACTGCACCACAATACGAGTATTTAGTGCTTGTCTCATCACCATAGCTATATATGGTTCACAAGGTTGTGTGTTTTCTCTCTGAAAACACTGCATTTTATTTACCTGCTGTTGTTGGCATAGATAAGAACATAAATGGATCAGACCAAGGCCTCTCTAGTCCAGCATATTGTTCCTGCAGTAGCCAACCAGATGTCGATGGCTCAAAGTAGAATATGAGTGCAATGTTGTTGTTGTTTAGTCATTTAGTCGTGTCCGAGTCTTTGTGACCCCATGGACCAGAGCACGCCAGGCACTCCTGTCTTCCACAGCCTCCCACAGTTTGGTCAAACTCATGTTCATAGCTTCGAGAACACTGTCCAACCATCTTGTCCTCTGTCATCCCCTTCTCCTTGTGCCCTCCATCTTTCCCAACATCAGGGTCTTTTCCAGGGAGTCTTTTCTTCTCATGAGGTGGCCAAAGTATTGGAGCCTTCATGGATCACTGCCTTGCCGTGGCAAAGGGGCTTCAATAACTCAGAGAAGCTATGAGCTATGCCATGCAGGGCAACCCAAGACGGACAGGTCATAGTGGAGAGTTTTGACCAAACGTGATCTACCTGGAGTAGGAACCGGCAAGCCACTCCAGTATCCCTGCCAAGAAAACTCCATGGACAAAGAGAACAGGCATGAGTGCAAAAGCATGCCATAATTCACAAATCGTCATCAAAGAAGCAGCTGATATTGTAGAGACATGCTTTGTTGCAGCTGGGGCAGGTGAAGGCATCTGGTTGTGCTGATGCGGATACACTATGGTGTTTCTTCTTTCTGCACTCCTTCCAGCACTCCTTCCTCCTCTGGTCACTGCTATGGATACATGACTGGGCTGTCTGTCTTCAGGCATAAAGGTCATAAAGGTCATCTGCAAGGGATTACAACATGGCAAGGTTGGTGTTGCCAGCTTTCATGTCATGTTACAGACATCTTTGTGATGCATACTTGGTCTGCCAATTAGCCTAGTGCCTGAAGCCAGCTTCTCATAGAAGACATCCTTGAGGATTCTGCCATCTTCCATTCTTTGGACATGACCAAGCCAGCACTGGGCTTGGGAGAACACAGCTTTGTTTGAAACTCTGTGCTGCCCAATTTTTTTCTGACACAGCACAGCTGAGGCATCACCCCTGACAGTTGTAAGTTGCCCAAGACTCACTTCCATAAAACAGTGTGCTCAATGTGCAAAGCCTGGTAGACCTTCATCTTGGTGTTGAGTGTTAGCATCACATTCCCTCATACCCTTTTGCTAATTGCCCACAGAACAATGTTGCATTATTGAGGGCTGGTGCCTTAAATTAGCACAAACTTTTCAGTTGCAAAAGTAAACGCTTTTTACATTTTGCTTTGAGCTATTGCTTGGAAACGAAGATCATGGCCACTGGTCCCATCACCTCCTGGCAAATAGAAGGGGAAGAAATGGAGGCAGTGAGAGATTTTACTTTTTTGGGCTCCATGATCACTGCAGATGGTGACAGCAGTCACGAAATTAAAAGACTCCTGCTTCTTGGGAGAAACGCAATGCCAAACCTAGACAGCATCTTTAAAAAGCAGAGACATCACCTTGCCAACAAAGGTCTGTATAGTTAAAGCCATGGTTTTCCCAGTAGTGATGTATGGAAGTAAGAGCTGGACCATCAAGAAGGCTGATCGCCGAAGAATTGATGCTTTTGAATTATGGTGCTGGAGGAGACTCTTGAGAGTCCCATGGACTGCAAGAAGATCAAACGCTCTCCATTCTTAAGGAAATCAGCCCTGAGTGCTCACTGGAAGGACAGATCCTGAAGCTGAGGCTCCAATACTTTGGCCAACCTCATGAGAAGAGAAGACTCCCTGGAAAAGACCCTGATGTGGGGAAAGATTGAGGGCACAAGGAGAAGGGGACGACAGAGGACGAGATGGTTGGATGGTGTTCTCGAAGCTACCAAGCATGAGTTTGACCAAACTGCGGGAGGCAGTGGAAGACAGGAAGTGCCTGGCGTGCTCTGGTCCATGGGGTCACGAAGAGTCAGGCACGACTAAATGACTAAACAACAACAACAACATGTACAAGGTCTTGGGGTTCTGAACCTATATTTAGTTATAAAAATGAAAAGGACAGGATTTATTTTTTTTAGAATTCACGCTAACTTCTCAGGTACAGTTTTCATTTGGTTGTGTGTTTGCCTAGAAAGTTTTAGTCAATAAATGCTGTCTGTCTCAGTCTGGCTACGACTCATATACAGCAGGTGCCTGCCCAGGGCAACAAAAAGTTTAGTGGTTAATGTTTTAAAATTAATTTCACCCCTATGATGCATTTTATCCAAGGTGTGCTAACAAGACAAATGAAGACAATAAACTTATTAAAAGGCATGTAATATCATGGGAAATGAATACAATGCAAAACCATTGTTAACAGATGGTAGCCACCGTCTGTCAAAGCTTTGCTTATTTCTTTCTCTTTTCAACCTCTGTTCATTTTGCCAGTTTTAAGCCAGTCAGGATCTATATTCTGTAATTACAATTTTCTTACAATCCCTTTTACTTTATGCCTCACCCAGTGCTGCCTTGGAACTTTAAAGAGAATGCGCAATAAATATTTCCCTTCAAATCATACCTACGCCTATGTTTGTCATCATATGAGCCCTATTCAGGTGTTCTTCAAAATCATGTTGGCAAAGTCACGGTGGGAGAATTCTGTTTCCAGTTACTTGGCAGTCCTGCATATGTAATTGGGTCCATGAATTACAGGATTTATGTTATCATCTATGGCATACAAAAATAGAAACATTTAGTATTTACATGAAGGTGCAACTCCCAGCAGGTTCAGTAACAAATCAATAAGAACAAAACACATCCTATACCGTGAAATCTGGAAGGTAAGACATGCCAAGGCTGAACTATTAGGCTATTTTATAAAAGGTAAAGGGACCCCTGACCATTAGGTCCAGTTGTGACCGACTCTGGGGTTGCGACGCTCATCTCACTTTATTGTCCGAGGGAGCCGGCGTACAGCTTCCGGGTCATGTGGCTGCTTCTGGCGAACCAGAGTAGCGCATGGAAATGCCATTTACTTCCTGCCGGAGCGGTACCTATTTATCTACTTGCACTTTGATGTGCTTTTGAACTGCTAGGTTGGCAGGAGCTGGGACCGAGCAATGGGAGCTCACCCCGTCGCAGGGATTCAAACCGCCAACCTTCTGATCGGCAAATCCTAGGCTCTGTGGTTTAACCCACAGCGCCACCCGCGTGCCAGGCTATTGTATATATGTGCATGAATAAAGAAATATGAGTTGTGGGCCCGTCCCTCCTCCTCCACATAATTCTAGCTTGTTTGTATTTCATTATATCTTAGGTACATAGTAGTTTTTTCATAGTGGTTAGAAACAAAACCATCATTATACACAGTCTGTAAAGATCTGGCTGCTCCAATTATTTGTTGTTTGAGATCATGCCCACATATACTTCTGCATTAGAAAAAAACCAAAACCCCATTTCTTTCCATTAAGAGGCATCTTAATTTAGATGGGTCATTCTACTTAGGTGGTTCATTCTGCTTAATATGTATGACGTATCTGAATCCAAGAGATTCTTTTGTTGTTGAAGCCTTTGGACTTGATGTTCCAGGCTGTTTATTTGAGACTCTGTACAGGACTGACTGGGAATTGCTTTTTGTACTTCTCTGTCTAATCTGTATTGATTTGCTCTAATTCCTTCAATATTTTCAGAATTCTGGCTCTTTTTTCCACTTTGGATAATTTATGCTTAAAGAATTGTATTTTATTATTGCCTGTAAGTACCAGTTCCTATTTTTAAAAACCTACTCATTGCAACTGATAGCAAAGACAACAACAAAACAAAATACGGGAGGTTTATCTTTTTAAATTAAAGAAGAAGGTATTTCAAAACTGAGGAATGGGAGCTTTCATCCCAATGCAAATAGCAGCTCCAGAAGAGTGATTTTCATCGGGACTACAGCAGGGGAGAAAAAGATTAAATGCTCCATCAATGCCTGCTACAATCTTGATAATTATAAACCCCCCAGCAGCTACTATATTCATTTTTAAAATGCACATTAAATGTAAAGATGTTTTGAATATGTTACGTCTAGTTCAAGCTGTAGCGACGGGGGACGGGACTAGCCAGGCTTTTTGCCCCAGGTAAAGCCTCCAGAGGGGTGCCATTAAGGCTCCCAGTCTGTGTATGTGTGTACACAGATGTGCAAGGGAGGTCTTTGACCTATGTGAAACCTCTGTTCAATCATTACTTTGCACAGGGCTTTCCCCCTCAGCAGGAACTCACTGGAACTCAGTTCCGGCACTATAAGAGAACAAGGTAGGCGTTCATGGTGAGTTCCGGCACCTCTTTTTCTAGAAAAACAGCACTGACTTTGCCATTTAAGCCATTGTGCCAGTAGTCATAGGGTCAGGCAACCAGAACCCCAGGGCCCAATGTTAGGGAAGACACTGTTCCCTTCTAATACTGTAGCACCTGACTTCAGACCTAACATGGCACCAGCAGCTACGTGAAGTGACATAGAGCCAAAACGAGTTTTCCTTGATATCTCCAGCGTCAGATTTACATGAATATAATCTGTTGAGAAGTTACTTTTGATTGTCATGGCTGTAAAATTAGAACAGAACAAGACACAAAATACCTTATTTTAAGTGGCTTAATCAGTATTGGCTCCTTGCCTTGATTGTTAAAAAGATGCTCTCATACGATGACTGATTTCAACAAGGGCTTCTTTCCCCATCATAATTTGACTGTTCTTTTTATTGCAAAATTTCAGAGCATGGCATAGTGCGATGATTCTTCTTGCTGATGTGTTTACACATGGCAGATGCACTTTAATGATATGGAATACTCCAGCTGAGTGCAATAAAAGCATACAATGAATTTGTGTTTCAGCACAGAGTGCAAGTATGACTGCGAAGACATCTGCGATAATGCAGGAAAATATAACAGAGCCGCTTAAGACATGGCAGGAGCAACACAGCCAGGAGCTACTGATAAATAAATCAGAATGTCGCCTGCCTGATTTGCTGTCGCACATTTGTTTTTCTCATTGTCTTCCCAGAGTTTCCTTAGGTTTTCACTTTATGAAAAATATTTTTAACTTCCTTTGTGGGTACAGCCTACATGGATTTCTCTCTGGTGTAAAGATGGTTCATACTTTGGGCCCTTCCGGGAAGTTGTTTATTGCAGGATCTCCCACAAATAGATTTTTTTTTTAAAAAAGTAGCCACACAGTCTTGTTGGCATCAAAATGTCAGGCTGTATTATCCCCCCACCCATTTAATCTGGATTTAACCTCTCGGAGGTAAATCTAATAAAAATATATTTTAAAAACCCTGTTGACAACCAATCACTTGCAATATTTCAGTTTGCAAATGAAGCCCCATCTGGAAGTGTTATTTCAGCATATCTGAATTGCTTAACTGCACATGTTCTCACATTAATCTACCACTTTTAACAGAACCCACAGTTTGTCACCTGAGGGCCAAGCTAGACAATATGTAAAATGTGTGAATGCATTTTATGTATCTGGTTTTTAAAGTAAATAAACAGCAACTACTCAGAATTAGAACTATGATGTGTTGGAAGGGGTGGATTAGTCCTTTACCTGTGCATGTTGATTTTGGTAAAAATGGCCCCCTCCCAAAGTTGTTATTCAACCAGAGAGAGAAGCTGCCATTGGCACTTTGTAGGATGTTGAATAGGATGCAGTTTTCCCCATATGCTCCATGATTTAATATATCTGTTCTGAAGTTCATGGCGCTGCACACGTAACAAATATGTCACACAAGCTATTTACTGTTAGGGAACTTAACTGTCTCAGTTCTGCCCAGCTTATACCATGCTGCCTGCCTCTAGCTTCAAATGAGATTTTCAGGGTTTTATATATAATGGTGTTTGGCAAGTCATTGAATTCTGGTGAAAATCTTCCTTGTAAAAAAATATTGTCTCTGTGTTGGTCCAGTTATTGTGATGCCTCAGCCTGGGGAAAAAGGTGTCACAGTTGTAATATTAAGGTGCAAACCTTATTGAAAATGGTGAGACTTCTAAGTAAATATGAAGCTGATATCTCTGATAATCAGTATTCTTGTTGATAAAGGTCTAAGTTAACGAAGCATATTATAATTGGAATTTCATTATTTTTACTAATAATAAATGGAGGAAAAATATACTACAGTGGTACCCTGCAAGACGAATGCCTCGCAAGACGGAAAACCCGCAAGACGAAAGGGTTTTCTGTTTTGGAGGCGCTTCGCAAGACGAATTTCCCTATGGGCTTGCATCGCAAGACGAAAGCCCATAGGGAAATGCTGGCGGTCGGGAGCAAAGACTTTCGCCCACAGCCGGCCTTCAGAAGAGGACCTCTTCTGAAGGCCGGAGGGGGGCAAAAGTCTTGCCCCCCCCGCCTGCCCCGGGCGATCTTAAAATGCTGGCGGGCGGGAGCGAAGCGTTCGCTGCCGACCCCCAGCATTTTAAAATCTCCAAGGGACAGCAGAGAAGTCTCTGTCCCGGGGAGATTTTAAAATGCTGGGGGTCGGCAGCGCTTCGCTCCCGACCCCCAGCATTTTAAAACGCTGTTCCGAAGCGGGGGGCGGGGACACCTGCCCCAGCCGCCCCACTTCGGAAAGCTGTTCCGAAGTGGGGAGGGGGGGCGGGGACACCTGGCCCAGCCGCCCCACTTCGGAAAGCTGTTCCGAAGTGGGGAGGGGGGGCGGGGACACCTGGCCCAGCCGCCCCACTTCGGAAAGCTGTTCCGAAGTGGGGAGGGGGGGCGGGGACACCTGCCCCAGCCGCCCCACTTCGGAAAGCTGTTCCGAAGTGGGGAGGGGGGGCGGGGACACCTGGCCCAGCCGCCCCACTTCGGAAAGCTGTTCCGAAGTGGGGAGGGGGGGCGGGGACACCTGGCCCAGCCGCCCCACTTCGGAAAGCTGTTCCGAAGTGGGGAGGGGGGCGGGGACACCTGCCCCAGCCGCCCCACTTCGGAAAGCTGTTCCGAAGTGGGGAGGGGGGGGCGGGAACAACTGCCCCAGCCGCCCCACTTCGGAAAGCTGTTCCGAAGTGGGGAGGGGGGGCGGGAACAACTGCCCCAGCCGCCCCACTTCGGAAAGCTGTTCCGAAGTGGGGAGGGGGGGCGGGGACACCTGGCCCAGCCGCCCCACTTCGGAAAGCTGTTCCGAAGTGGGGGGGGCGGGGACACCTGCCCCAGCCGCCCCACTTCGGAAAGCTGTTCCGAAGTGGGGAGGGGGGGCGGGAACAACTGCCCCAGCCGCCCCACTTTGGAAAGCTGTTCCGAAGCGGGGAGGGGGGGCGGGAACACCTTCTGAAGGCGGGCAGGGGGCGAAAGTCTTTGTCCCCCCTGCCTGCCTTCCCAGGGGCTTTTAAATCGCCCCGGACAGCGGAGAAGTCCTCCGCTGTCCGGGGCGATTTTAAAATGCTGCCCGCCAGCATTTTAAGATCGCCCCGGACAGCGGAGAAGTCCTCCGCTGTCCCAGGGTTTTTTAAAATGCTGGGGGTGGGAAGAAAAGCCCTTGTCCCCCCCCCCAGCCTTCAGAAGAGGTCCGGGGACAGACTGTCCCCGGACCTGGTCTGAAGGCGGTTTCCCTAGGAACGCATTAATTGATTTTCAATGCATTCCTATGGGAAACCGTGCATCGCAAGACGAAAAAACCGCAAGACGAAGAGACTTGCGGAACGAATTAATTTCGTCTTGCGAGGCACCACTGTAAACATATAACATAAGCCTTCTATATTGTATATTTAATAGCATAAGATGCTTCATACTTTTATGGCATCAAAAAAGTAATAGCTGGTGTTGCTGATCTTGGTGTGAACACAGGGTTATTCTTTTTATAGCACTTCCAATTTGTGAAATTGCACAAATGAACCTATTTAGAGCATTTGAGATACAATTTCATTAGTAGTTTTATCATCTACTTCCTTAAGCTGTTTCATATTGGAGTTGTGGAATCAATACAGTTATGATACCCATATGCATCCTTATTTTTTAAAATATATAAACATTTTGGACAAGTTTATGAAACAGTGGTGGTTTAATGATCATTGAACTGATAATATTAGAAAACCATGCTACTTTTCTCTATCGTGTCTTTTCTAGCCTTAAGAAGCTGGAAATACTTGGATGCCATGCTCTTACTGACAAATGCTTGAGATCCGTGGCTGTGAAGTGTCCAGATCTAGAGGTGCTGAACATTGGCAGAATTCACAAGATTACTGAGGAGTGCTTGGCGAAAGTCATAAGCTCTATGAAAAAGCTAACTAGTGTTAACCTTACGGGGCTCAATATGGTAAGCAGGTAGTCCCCCCCCCTTGTTCCCCTGTCTTCATTTGTGTGGAATAAATTGTTATGTATGTGCTGAGTGTGGGCAAAAGAAAGACATGAATCACGGGTATTCATGAATTCAAGGCTCACATGTACAGGTTACAAGTTCTTACTGGAAATCTGAAATCCCACTTAGCACTTTTCAAAAAGTTCTAGTTTTCAGTGTTTTGAAGTTAGGTTAGAAAATGGTGATAGCAAGGTGGGCGGAGACTTCTAAACCAGAGGGTGAGTTAAAAAAACAAATGGGCCACAAATGGGATATAACAGTTTTCATTGGAATTATGCTTGTGACTATATTCAGCAGTGACTGAAATTTGCTTGTGGCAAACTGTGAATGGTTTAAATCAAAGTTTGCCACCACAAGTTGAGTTAATTCCAGCACAACGCTGATTTATTATTAAATACAGCATATTGTCCAACTGTGATATAGCATCAACCATGTTCATGCGCATGGAGTGCAAATTAGGCTAATTGCATTTAACTTGCCTGCTGACGGATGAAGTATTTCAGCATGAGGACTCCGTCTGTTGAAGAAACTACAGAGGGAAGATAGATGTGGTGGTTTATTATAATTATTACTATAATGCAAAAGTCATGTTGATATATATATATATTTCATGTTGTCTGTGATTATGTCAGAACTGTGGAGGAGAAAAACAGCAGTGAGCTATATAAAAGTTTATTGCCATATGACTGTGCATTCTCAGTATTTGTTTTCTTAACAGCTGCTATTTTGCCATCTTATGCGAGTATGTTTTTTGAGTAGGTGGTTTTTATTTCACAGCAGAACAACTCTTGAAGCGACTCAGGAAAAGTTGCCTCTTGTTTTGCGTAGGACTGCGGTGGTTGATAAGACTGTCACAACTAGCATAGCCAACTGGCCAGTCTGCTGGCCTGTGACTATTACATATACAATGGTGCCTCGCAAGACAAAAAGAATCCGTTCTGTGATTCTCTTCGTCTAGCGGTTTTTTCGTCTTGCGAAGCAAGCCCATTGACGGATTAGCGGATTAGCGCTATTAGCGTTTTAGCGGCTTATCGGATCAGCTGATAAGCGGCTTAGCGGCTTAGAAAAGGGGGGGGGGAAACCCGCAGGAACTCGCAAGACATTTTCGTCTTGCGAAGCAAGCCCATAGGAGACTCGTTTTGTGAAGCACCTCCAAAACGGAAAACTCTTTCGTCTAGCGAGTTTTCCGTCTTGCGAGGCATTCGTCTTGCGGGGCACCACTGTATATTGATGCATTCCTTGAAACTGCAATAGAGAAGCCTGCATGATAGTGGCAATAAGATTGTAGAGCTGCACTAGATGAAGAGTGCTACCCAAATTGTTGTGTTTCCTTTTTCTCTCTCCTGTTGGGCTGCAGGTGAGGGATTGTGTTGTACATTTAATTGTGAAGAAATGTCCTAAAGTGGAAAGTTTGGTTCTCAATTCATGCTCCCAAGTAACTGATATAAGCCTTTTAGAAATCAGCATTGGCTTACCAACAATCAGGTATGTTTGAAGACTAGCTATTGTAAATGCATTTGTTATTCAATGGTGCAAGCAATCTTTCAACTCTAGACTTAAAGGTCTTACAGGCCACCAGCACACCAGACTTAATCGTTTAATGAAGAACCCTTTTATAATACTTTGGGGCTCCAGACCTCTCCTGCAAAGTCCTGCCCTGGCCGCCTCATTATTGTTCTCAGGTGTTTGAAATCACACTGTCATTTTTTAACCCTTTGGGTGATGTGGTGTTCCTGCTTACAGGAGCATGGCATGATTCAGTGTTTGTGGTGGATGCCATGTACGCGCAAAACGCAATCGTAAAATAAAAATATTCATTTTACAGAGAAGCATGCAATTCTGTAGTAGCCAAACAAAACACTGTACGTTTGGTACCTCATTACATGACACTTGGAAATGCATGGCAATATACAATTATTAATGATTTTAAAAAGTAGTTCAGGGCATCTTAGATTCTAAATGTTAGCTTTTGAAAAGGAAATCTCATTATAGTGTTCAAGCTGGAGTGCTACTTGAGAGTGAAATCTGCACTGCAGTTAGGGTTCCCAGCATTATTTAATGTCCCATGATACAGCTTTAAACATATAGTGTAGCAGGGGCCTAACAAGGGAAATTTGTGTGGGAGATTGGGATGGAGCATATGATAATAAAACCCATTGCGTGTTGAGTCCCACAGTGCCACCCCCCAAAAATTCACACATCACACTTCAATTTTTGTTTAAGGTTTTTGGCATAATTTTTGGCCACAACTTTATTTAAATACAAAAAATGTGAGTGGTTGCTTAGGCATTGGTTTGACTATCTGTCCTTGCCCCCAAGGACAGAGCTGGCACTTCCGGACACCACCAGAAGCCAGCGTGGGAAACAAGTATTGGGGAGAAGTGAGGCTGGGAATCAATCCAACACTTCTCACCCTCATGTTCCGGTGGGGCTTGCACGGCCCAAGTCCGGCTCCACGGACAAGGACGAAAGAATGGCAAGCCCCTGGATTCCTTTAACGGAATTCCCATTCCGCATCATTTGGAGGGATAGGCACCTTACCCCTCCAAGAACCAATTTAACCAATGCCTAACCGCCAACCTTACAAGTTGTGACGAATTGCTACGCAGTAGGCAAAAACCAAATGGCAACAGCCAATCAGCCAAATGGCAAAATTCCTACCAGGCCCCCGCTCAAAGGCGGACGGCCCCATGACAGGCATAGCAAGGTCAAGTAACCACGGAACCACCCTATAAAAGGGAGGGGGGGCGGGTGATCCGATGCAAAACGGCCAAGAGATCGTCCCATCGTCTGGCTCCTGAATTTATAGTCTCTGACCCCTCCTCCGAATTGGCAACACTCAAAAATCCCCAGCAACCCAATTAACCCTTTACAGGTTTGGGTTCCATCAAATTTGCCTAGTCATGACACGGTGGCCTGTTCCCCCAACCGCAACACGTGCTCTCTGTTAGGGAGAACACGCTTTCTCAGTGGGGGCATTACACCATTCCTCAACTGACTTTGGAGAAAGGTGATTCCCCAATAATGGCAGTCTTTGGAAAGCCCAAAGACAGTGATTGGTGTGTGTAGAATGACTTTTTAAGGAACCATTTATCTTGCTTCTAAAACAGAGTTAGTCAGCTATTTGAGTAGCATGGAATTTTGTCAGCATTATTACCACTTAATCCTTGAAAGATTGGCTTTTTCCTGGCTGACGACCAGTTGTATTCTTAGATTGCCTTTGATTTCATGAGTTCATGGTGATAAGTTTGAAGGGTGGATAAAACTGGATTGTACTCATTGTTTTATTTTATACAGTGCTCTTACTTGATAACTCATTCAATATACAGTGGTACCTCGGTTTAAGTACTTAATTCATTCCGGAGGTCCGTACTTAACCTGAAACTGTTCTTAACCTGAAGCACCACTTTAGCTAATGGGGCCTCCTGCTGCTGCGCCACCGGAGCACGATTTCTGTTCTCATCCTGAAGCAAAGTTCTTAACCTGAAGCACTATTTCTGGGTTGGCGGAGTCTGTAATCTGAAGCGTATGTAACCTGAAGCGTCTGTAACCCGAGGTACCACTGTATTTATTTGGACTGAAGACACACCATCATAACTATTTTATGCATCATCTCCTAATTGGTTAATTAGTTGTCCAACAAACCATGTGGCAGAGATAAAGTAGAAAGCTTTTCTAAAATCATTATGGATTATTTACAAGATGCTTTACAGCAGAGTGTTTTATTACAGCTTTATGATTTTACCTTGCGATATGAAATTGTTTAAATTAATACTGCAGACAAGAGAATCAAAAGCCAAGTTTGGAGATTTGCTTGTTCAATGACCACAAATGAAACAAATGTACTTTAATTTAACTTTCTCTTTTTTCCCATTTCCTTTTTGCAAGAAATGAGAGTTTCATACTATAAAAATAATTTTCAGTGTTACAAGTGGTGACACAGGAAACATGAACTTGTGAATCTCCTCTTTGGTGAAATGTGTGAGATCTGTGCAAATTCCCATCTTACCTGGGAAGTGTTAAAAGGGGAAGCTCAAGTTATTCCTCTGTAACCATGTATAAATATTGTCAGGAACTGCCCTGACACAATGTCATGACACAATCGGTAAGGTGCACCCATCCTTATGTGTGTACTTGCTAGTTTAGTCTGCTACAAGGTTGGATCATAAAAACCAACCATGTACTAAATGGAACTGCCGTAACTACTTTAAACACTTACCTCTGATCTACATAATCAGCTGATGGCTATATATGGATGCTGGTTTTTTCTTTCTTTTTTTAAAATTGCTGCAGGTACCTGGATGTTAGTGGCTGTAAAGAGGTCACTGACATTGGAGTTCAAGCTTTGGCGGGGAGATGCCGGAAGCTTTCTTTCCTTGATTTAAGTTCCACTGCAACCAGCAAAAGAGGGTAGGGTGTTTGAGGACATTTTGCAAGTGACGTGTTCAAGGAAATATGCAATAAAAATGTAATCTAACCTTCAAACAGTAGCAGCCAGTAATGGTACGGTGGAGCTGCCCTCCTGACACCTATGTTTCTGCAGCCTGCCTAGGGAATGAGGCAGGGCGGGACAGTTCAGCTCCAAAATTGTGGTTTGAACTGATTTATTTTCAGGCAAAATTTGGAGTTTCACTATCTCCCTTTCAGGCTACGTACCTTGTGCTACTGACACAGGCTATCATATACATGGCTGTTGTAGAGCATAAAGACTATTTCTGATTAGTTTATTATCTACATTTAAAAAGGAGAGTGGTTTCTGTTGTTGGTAAAGTAACCTGGTGTGCATCAGCAGCTACTAAGCTCCAGTTGTTACCAGTAGGTGCAATTTGTAATCTCCCTTTTCATCATGACTGGATTTTCACCCCCAGAAGCTGAGGATCTGCTAATTAAGATCCAGAGTGGAGAGTAGACAAAATAACCTAAGAGCTTTTCCCCGAACCCTTCAATTTCCCATTCTGATTTGCAGAGCATTACGACTGTTTCCTAGGTAGCTATGGCAACAGCTATATAATTGTAAGTGTGTTATGTTCTTTAGATGCATTCTAGCACTGCTGGACAATCCGGGCTTCATCTGATTGGTCTGCTCTGTTTAACTTTTTGATTCCATTATTATCAGAAATGTTTCCAGCTGCTTCTCATGTAGCTATTTTTCTTCTATGAACTAAGTGGATTTAAATGTCACAGCACTGGAACATGTCCTCCTTGCAGTTATTCAGGCTGCAGCACATTCAGCTAAATTGCTGTAATAATATTAATGGACTTTCTTGATTGCATTGCCCTCCACTTCCACTGGCTGCAAGCAGATCAGTAACAGCAACAGGCTCTGAAATACTTGAATAATATTATTTTTATTAATTTATTAAATCTCATCTGTAAATCTCAGGATACAAAACCACACAAAATGCATAATAAAAAAGAACAAAAATAAACCAATAACCCTCTCGCCCCCACCCAAGCTGCATCCTTGTTAAGTATATTGAAGCTGATGGTTAATGAATGTTTTGGACATTTAATCCAGAGACTGCCAACCTGGCAGTTCTGGGTGCCATGACACCCATGAAGGCCTTCACTGGGGCCTCTAGGCTAGGCTCTCAGACTCTAAACTGGCCCTCCTGGAAAGAAAGCTATGAGGTGAAATGTGCAGGTGCCCTTCTAAACAATTTCTAAGCAATTTAGGTAAAATGAGCTGGTCTGGCTGTTCCTGTCTGTCAGTGTTTTTAAGCAAATGAGTGGAGTCAGAGCTAAGTGAGTTCTTTGGATACCAGACAGTAGAAATCCCTGGGGTCATAAGAGCTTCTATTTTCTGCTCCCCATTAGTATGCTTTCCCTGCTTCCATCTTATTTTTTTAGCAGAGCTTGGAATCTCCATGATTTCCCTTCCCTTTTTCCTGGCAACCATGATGTACTTTTCCTGTGGTGGTTTTGACTGAGATCAGGTACTCCTTGGAAGTTTTTGGGTTTTTTTGCAAATACTAGTACACAGTCAGTAAGTATGGGTGGGTGTTAAAAGAGGACTTTCCCCAAATGGCAAGTGCAAAATGTGAAAACTTTGCAACAAGACTCAGGGATATCTCCTACTGTACATGAAATGATGTCCCTGCACTCCTTAAGAAGTCACTGTAAGTTACAGTACAATGGTATGCATTGTTTGCTTCAGAAATAAATCTCCTTAGGTTTAATGGGGAATAGTCCCTGGAAACTGGGCACAGGAGGGCAGCTGAGCTTTTGGTTTAGGATTGGCATTAGGGAAAGCAGAGCATTTGTGACTTTAACAGCTGTATGTCTACAATCAGCAACAGCAAGCTATAACTGACTTCCCATGATAAGCATGAGGTTCTTGAGGTGGTAGAAGCAGCAATGACTATGCTCTCTAATTCTGTGTTATACCATGCCCCCCATGGCAACTATTTTGTGACTGGCACCCACAACACTCTCCCAGAATTCAAAATGTACCAACTGGTCCATAAAGGCTGGTAACCCTGGTGTAGAAGCTAACCTCTTGTATGTGACCTTGAGAAGTGAACGACAAAATAAATAATTTATGGAGAAGCATGAAACAAAGTTAAGAAAATGTGAAATATGGCTTCTCCTACAGCAAAGCCTTTCATTGCTGATTTAAGGAGTGCAAGCGCATCACATCCTGTAGAATACATATACCCCAAAAATGTCTGAATCATCTTGCAAATAAGTAGCTGGTCTTGAAAGCATGAAATAGCTTTTCACCTAGTGCTGTGTCCATCAGGAATAGGTGACCTTTGATGGTTTAGAATGTGCTGTGTGCTTAATCCAAGAAGTGACTTCCTAGAGCAAAATTGCTTTTCAAATCTTACTTCAAAAGCAGAACTTAACTTGTAGCTTGTGTCTTGTTTATGGGCTTCAGGGTTTGCCTGTTGGCTAGCTTCTGCTTCAGGACTTTGGAATGTGTGAAGCTGAGTTTCTGCAAGAATATCTCCCTGGATGCAGTTGTGAAATTATGCAAAAATTGCAAAAGGTGAGTGTGACTTCCTCTAATACGATCCAGGTATTGATGATTTCATTGACTTAATAGTAAAGGGATCAACAATAGGACCCTGCTGGAACTAAATTACGAGGAAAGATTTCAGTATTTGGAGAGTAGGATGGAGTATCCTGGAGGAGGGCATGGCTTGACTGGAGCAGAAAACCATTGCACTGTTTTATTATCGGTTCCATTTGTTTGCCATAATGGCTAAATGGAGCCTCCATGTGCAGAGGCAGAATGAATACCAGTTGATGTGGGGCAGCAGTAGTGCTATCAGATTCATGCCCCACTGGTCGCCAGAAATTGCTGTCAGAAACAGAATGCTAGATTTGATTATCTTTTGATCCATCTGTAGCTGTCATTTTCAATGACAATATGAGCAGGCGGTGGAGATGTAATCCACCCCTAGGGCTTTGTGCCCCTTGATGTTCATGTAAGCAGGAACTCCATACAATTGGACTTCCCAGGCTGTGTATGGCCATATGTAGGGGCCCATTTCATGCATTCAAAGGAATGTGAAGTTGCTGAGGGAGAGGCAAGGATCCAAAACAATGTTCAGTTTATTCAAACCTGAATTAGGAAGAATTCATGTGTGTGTGTGAAGATTTTAATGCCCTGTAGTTAAGATTAAAGGCAGTGAGTGTGGTGTCATATTGCATTCCAGAGCAATTTGCATTCCAGACCTTTATTGTTTGTTTTATTTTGTAGTGTGAGTAACCTTAGTCTCCTTTGAGGTAAATGAATGGTGAAACCTCCATTAAACATTTCCTCATTTAACAAATTCTTTAGAGATACCGTAATGCTATCCTGCCTTTTTATTTTTCACTTGTTGCTGCTGTTTGGCTATTTGCTGGCTGGCTGGGATAAGGACAATGTAGGTGGTTTTGATATTATTCAGTTGAAGAAATACCTCTTACTTTTTGCAGTGCTTCAAGTAAGTTTGTATTACCAACAGAAGAAGAGCTGTTAGTACAGAAGGAGACCTGGCAACAAGAATCAAGAATGACAATCAATTTTTAGTTTTCTTGTGGATAGAGTTTGACATCTCTCAAGGTGATAGCTTGAGAATTCCAAAAAGTGCTGGCAGTCTTCAAGCAGGAATAGTTCAGGCTCCTGTCACTGGATTTGCAAGGAGTTAGCACATTTGTTTCTCCAGAGATAGTGGGCTCGCTCTGTGAAGTAGGAAGCACCTTTTAAACATTTATGTTGTATGGGAAAAAAGAGAGCTTGCCTCCTCCCCTCTGCTTCCCTTTAGTTTTCTCTTTCTAAATTCATAACTGCCAAACTGGCTTCAAACTGTGTCTCTGCTGTCTCTCCCAGCTCTTGTCAGTTATTACCCAGTGAAGGCAGAATCCTAGTCCATCAGGAGAATATGCCTAGCTGTTAAGAACATAAGAATGCTGCCTTATATCAAATCAGATCGTGCTCTCTAGATGTTTTGGGTACAACCTCCATCAGCTCCAGCCAGTGTAGCCAGTGATCAGGGCATAGCTGTCAACCGTCCCTTATTTGGCGGGAAACTCCCTTATCCCAGCACCATGTTCCACTGCTGTCCCTTATTGATGATGTCCCTTAATTTTCCCGAGTTTCATGCTTGCCCGGCTCGGGAGGGAAGCAGTGGCTCGGGGTCCTCTGCCGCGAGAGAGCGTGCACGCACGAGCTGCCACATCTCAATCTCCCCCTTTTCCCCCTCAGGGGCGTGTCATGAGGAGACGGGTGGTGGCGGGTGGGCAGGCAGCCCCTCTCTTGCGAGACTTCCGCTGCGCTGCCAGGGGAAGCCGGAGGTGGCAGCGGCGGCTGATGAGGAGGCCTGAGGGAGGAGGAAGAGGAGGGGATTTGGAAGGACGCAGAAGGCCAGCACTTCAGCGGCCGCCGTGGCACCGCAACTGCCTCATGCCGGGCTCGCGGGCGAGAGTCTCTCTCCCTCGCCCCCCCCCTTGGGCGGGGAGGGGCCGATGGAACTCCTCACGCCAGGACGACGGCAGCCCCGACGTGCTGCTTAGCATACCCTCCAACCAGTGCAACATCTTAGTGTAGTGATTTCCCCCTCTGCATCCCTTTCATAACTCTATTTTTATAAATCATTTGTCCATCCATAGTTCAGATTTTTACTACAAGTATTCTGTCAATCCTACCAATGTATGTACCATATTTTTCGCACCATAGGACGCACCGGACAATAGGACGCACCTTGTTTTAGAGGGGGGAGAACAAGGGGAAAAAATTCTTCCGCTCTCTGCCCAGTGCCCCGTCAGTGAAGCGGCAGGAGGCGCTGCGCAGACAGTGGGAGAATTTCCCCCCTCTTGTTTTCCCACTCTAAAACAAGGTGCCGTTTAAGGTGCGTTCAGGCGGCTACCTTGGAAGCCTGGAGAGCGAGAGGGGTCGGTGCGCACCAACCCCTCTCGCTCTCCAGGCTTCAGGTTCCTTTCGACCTGCTCTTTGGGGCTGGCGGGGGGAAGCCCACCACCAGCCCCAAAGAGCAGGTCAGGGAGCAGCGGAAAGGCGCAGCAGAGAGGCTGCTGCCATAGGCGTGCGTCACCTGGGAGAGGGTCGCGGGGGGCTTCTTTAGCCCCGCACGCGCTCTCCCGGCTGGAGAGGTGACGCGCGCCTATGGAGGCTCCTGCCATAGTCCCGCGTTACCTCTCCAGCCGGGAGAGGGTCGCAGGGCTATGGCGTCTTCGCTCCATAGGACGAACACACATTTCCCCTTCATTTTTGAAGGGGAAAAAGTGCGTCCTATAGAGTGAAAAATACGGTAACTCTTTACAATAACTTTTCAACTAAATTATAAACTTTCCCCATTCTTTATTAAAGAGGTCCTCTTCCTGGTTTCTAATTCTGCCTGTAAGCTTTGCCATCTCGACGTCGTTCATCAGTTTTGTCTGCCACTCTTCTTTGGTTGAAGTTGTAGACCCTTAGGATCATCTAGTCGAACTCCCTGCAAAACAGAGTCGCAGCAAAAGCAGCCTGGCTCCATCAGTGCCGGATTTCTGTATGAACTAAGCAAAATCCCTTATTTTGGCTGCTGGCCCCTTATTTTCAAATCTGTAAGTCGACAGCTATGGATCAGGGATGATGGGAGTTGTAGTACAAAGCATCTAGAGGGCATCAGGTTGGAGAAAGGACATGTACACTGACCGGCCGCAGTTTTTCATGGGTCTTTTTCAGCTGTACCTAGAGATGCTTAGGATTGAACCTGGACCTTTGGCATGAAAAGCCTGTGGTCTACTCATTCTGTCGTCACCCCAACTAAAATAACCCCAATAACAGATGATAAAACTCTATAAATTCCCAGAAAGTCAACAGCTACTTGGTAGAGGCTTCAGTGGCGCACGTAATGCACGTTCATCCTACTATCTGCAGAGCATCTTACAGGAAAGGCCCTCTGGCGTTTTTTAAAAGCAAGCAACATATTTTCAGGGACTTATGCTGTGGCTGCCAGATGACTAGTAAAATAAATTAATGAACTATCTACAAATGTTGTTTTTCCCCCCCAGACTGAAGATACTTCATTTATATGGTTGCCACTTTGTGCCTGATCTGGACTCCATTAAAAGAATCAATAAAAACGTTGAAGTGCTGCATGACCTGACAGCTACTAAATTGTCATCTGAATGAGGAACTTCACAAAAAACAATTTTGATTCAGCAAAGAGATATTATATTAGTTTTTCCTGCTCAGAGTTTTATTAAGAAGACGTACAAATTTATACTTGGGCAAGGTATAGAATCTACCTCTACTTAGCTTTAATCCAGATACTATCTCTGCTGCTACTGTATCTTCAATATCTGTGAAATAAGAGAGGAGAAACGTGTCTACTTTGCACAAGGCTGTTGCAAGAGATAGCGTTTAACATAATTTGAAAAAGTACAATAAACAATAAGCATAAATTGTGCTTAAAGTGTTTGACTTAATTCATATCTTATTATTTATTTAAAAGTATGTGTATAAGAAGTATGAGGAATGGAAAAGCTATCTAGACACATATGAGCCTACCACATACTAGAGGTCCTACTTTCTTCCAAACCGACATTTGGCTTCAACAAAGGAAAAGGCTTTCTCTGTTGATGCACTCAGAATTATTATATTATATTTATTTATTATATTATATTATATTATATTATATTATATTATATTATATTATATTATATTATATTATTATATTTATTTTAATATTTACACACACATCCTCCGACTTACCCTGGTTAATTTTTCAATAAATACTGGTAAATAAATAATGATTTTTACGTTAGCTGCATTTCTTTCTGTGCAAAGAAAAGTGTGATAGAACTATTTTAAATACCGTATTTTTTGCCCCATAGGACGCACCGGCCCATAGGACGCACCTAGTTTTTTGGGGGGAAATAAAGGGGAAAAATTATTTCCCCCCCAGGTGCGGGGCTGGGGCGGGGGAAGCCCAAGATTCCCCCGACCCCAGCCCCCAGAACAGGCTGCTATCTGCTAGCCGTGGGAGAGCTGCGCGACTTCGCTAGCGGAGCGCTGCGCGAAGCCTGGGGCGTGCTGAGCTCAGCGCGCCCCAAGCTTCTGGGTGCCGGCAAGCTCTCCGCTAGCCGTGGGAGAGCTGCGTCTCCCGCGGATAGCTTCCTGAAGCCTGGAGAGCAAGAGGGGTGGGTGCGCACCTACCCCCCTCACTCTCCAGGCTTCAGCGAAAGCCTGCATTCGCCCCATAGGACGCACACACATTTCCCCTTCATTTTTGGAGGGGAAAAAGTGCTTCCTATAGGGCGAAAAATACGGTACATACATAAATAAATAAATACATAAACAGGACAATCCAGTTATGTAAGTAAAACTCAGCTAGGGAGCTGAAGTGGATCTACTATTTTTGTATGTGCTTAAAATGTGTGCAGGAAAACATGGTGAATATAGCCAAAAACACATATTTTTGAATTGTGAATCACAAGTAGTGGACCACATTTAAGTCCTGATGATTGCAATGAGTGAGGCAAGAGAGGATAAAATAAGAACTTTATATGTTAAGAGTTATTTATTTATTTATCGGCTTTTTCTGGATTGGGCTTACTGATCATAATTTCCAGCCTCACAAAACTGGTGCTAGAATCATCCTGTTCTAATGTTGAGCACTGGGGTGCCTAAATATAGTAAATATGGAGTAAAAATGGCAATGAGTCCACAGGAAGTGCGCTAATGGTTACATGTCTTATTTGCCATCACAAAATTGGTGCCATGATTGCCTACATGAAATACTCTGAGAGATTTCTGAAAGCTTCATTATACTTTTAGGCAATGCTTTTTTTCTTTAAAAAATGTTTAGGGGTACTCTCATTTTGACTCAAGGAAATCACCATTTTATAGTTCAAATTGGGAAAAATAAATACAGTAAATGGACAAAAGTACAAAGATTCACAAAATGTTTAGGGGTATGCGTCCCCCCAGAAACAAGCACTGCTTTTAGGTTCTAAAGCTAGTTGAGTTTTGAAACTAGAATTTTATTTTACAGTGAAATAGGATAGAAAAACGTCTTACCTCAATGAATGGTTGCTTTGATATCTATGTTATAAGTAATTAAGCTGCCCCTTTCCCCTTATGGGGTACCCAAGAGCCCATATAGAGTCCTTTTGTAGGTTCTCTATCGGTAGGAGAAAATAACAGAGGCCAACCAGAGAATATTGAGAAGCAAAGCAGCTAGTAAGTCTGATCTTTATTAACTGTTGCAACAGGGTGCTCCCCCACACGCAGGAGAGAGGAGGACCCAGAACAAAGGTGTGCCTGCCCTTATATAGACATTTTAAATTGCCCACCCTGGAGTCCAAGACCACCCCCCGAAACATCATACATACATCACAGAAGGGCTGTAGCCCAAGACTACACCATATCTACACCACAGAAAAGGCAGTCTACAACAGAAATCTGAGTGCATTGTTTTTATCCTGTCTGACAGATTACCTGTTAATGGTCACTTGACTGGATTACCTGGGAAGCCTGGCTATCCTTTTGTAATGATAATAAAGGTAAAGGTACCCCTGCCCGTACGGGCCAGTCTTGCCAGACTCTAGGGTTGTGCACTCATCTCACTCTATAGGCCGGGAGCCAGCGCTGTCCGGAGACACTTCCGGGTCACGTGGCCAGCGTGACGAAGCTGCATCTGGCGAGCCAGCGCAGCGCACGGAAACGCCGTTTACCTTCCCGCTGGTAAGCGGTCCCTATTTATCTACTTGCACCCGAAGGTGCTTTCGAACTGCTAGGTTGGCAGGTGCTGGGACCGAGTGACGGGAGCGCACCCCGCCGCGGGGATTCGAACCACCGACCTTTCGATCGGCAAATCCTAGGCACTGAGGCTTTAACCCACAGCGCCACCCGCGTCCCTTTGTAATGATAATACTTACGGTAATTTCTGAGCCAGGTCACAGGCTCACCCTATTCACACCTTAAGGCAGGATTTGTGAGGACAGAGACAATGGGGAGGTTTCTGCATTTCCTTCGACCTTGTAGAGAAATATTTGAGGTGACCGATAGAGTCAAAATGGATTTAGGACTTTTCCTGTGGGTTTCGGACATGTGGTTTATATATTTATATATGTGTTTGCTTGGTACATTTATGAACATTTATTATATATTTATAAGACCTAAAAATTCTTATAAAATCTACCTACCAGAATTACTCAGTCATTGAATTCAAAGAGGGCACTATGTAGACTAGAGACCAAATCTGACACATTTTTAACATTTAATTTAAATTGGGGTTGCATTCAAACTGCTATCTCTTGTCCTCCCCCCTCCCCACAAATGTATAAGACATATCGGAATAAAGCTTTGTTTTCTCTTTTCCTGCTGAGAGCTGCGTCTCCCAACGCCCACACTTACTGCTCATAAAAATAAATCATCTTTTGTTGGGTGGTTTTTCTGCCAGTTGCTTGAATAGGATGGGTGGTGCCAAGCCTTCATAGGTGGAAATTGGCAGCCTGAATAAATACAACCAGTGCCATCCATTTTATAGGTTACATCCCTGTGACAGTGCTCAATGACGTCATATTTGATCTTAAGAAGAGAGCCAAGGGAAAGGGCCTGAATGGTTGGGACAGAATGTATTCAACCTGTTTGTAACTCTCTTTCAGCCCATTCCTGAAACATGGTTGGAGTGTGCCAAAAGGTGTGTCACCAGGGGCATCTTACCCATAGAGGCTAGTGGCACGGGGCGCCAAGTTCTGGAGGGTGCCAGGGAAGAGGCGGAAGCTGAACCCGGCACCTCCTGGCATCAGCTCGCTGCCCTCGCCCACCTCCACCATGCCACGCTGAAGCAGCGCCACGCCCAGAGCCTCTCTGCCGTGGCCACCGTGGCACAAAGCGGCCAGCTGAGCCGGAAGGCGCCGTGTCCAGCCTCCGCCTCTTCTCTGCCAGAGGAGCCGCCCTCCAGCTGCTGCCCACCTCTTCCAGCCCCGCCAGCAGTGCCGTCCTCCCTAAAAAATTCTGGAAAATGGGGGGGGGGGCGCCGGAGGGAGCTTTGCACAAGGGCGCCAGATATGCTTAAGACTGCCCTGTATGTCCACCACCTCACATTTTGCACATGCAGTATGTTGGTCTGGGTGGTTGGGGGACTGTTCATCTAGCTATTGAACACACCTCCCCATGTCTCTCAAGTTCCATTTTTGAATCCAAGACTCACTCTTAGAGGGCATGCACAGCTGCCCTCACCAGCCCATCTAGTGTTGATGTAAGTCTGCGGGTTTAAGACCTTTATTTTGCCTGTTCCTTGAAGCAAAAAAATCACAATTGTTCTATAGGTGAATAGAAACCAAAATCACAGGGAGCAGCAGCATTATGTGAAGATAATAGTCAATTATGAATCTATTTTGATTAAGGACTCATATTCCAGAAAATACATTGGCACACTTTCTGTTTCAACAGACAGCTAGTCTGTTTTTGTCCTTGTAATATATGTAGGCAATACAATCTAAGTGATATCTGTTAACTGTAGTTAGAGCAAAGAAACCTGTTCAGCGAGTGAGCCCTTTCTTAGCGAATCCCAACCTCGCAAAACCAGTGTTGCAACTCTATGCCACTTCCTTTCTCTGGTTCTCAGGTAATCTATTTTGAGAACACTGTTCTGCAAGCAGAAAGGTCAGTGTGTTTAATGTTTAGAAGCCACACACTTGTAAAGTCTAGACTTGTTAGTCTTCGAAAGGACCCCTTATAATAAGGAAAAGAGATTGTGTTCCGTTCAGTTTTTCCCTTATATTCAGCAATAATCCATACAAGATCAGAGTTTAGTGGCACAACACATGGAAAGGTCTACTAGGTCCTTTGACCAAGTTTTTGACCAATGCAACTAAAAGATTTCAAGACTACAGGAGCACAGGGAAATACCGTATTTTTTGCACCATAACACTCACTTTTTTCCTCCTAGAAAGTAAGGGGAAATGTCTGTGCGTGTTATGGAGCGAATGCCTGCGGGTGGCGGGGGGATCTGCTGCAGTCGTGAGCAGAGGATCCATGGTTCCCCTTCCTTCCCTCCTCCGTGGTTACAAAGCATGGATCCACATGGATCCTCAGGATTTTTGCATTGGACTACTCCAAACTCAGGGGACGCGGGTGGCGCTGTGGGTAAAAGCCTCAGCGCCTAGGGCTTGCCGATCGAAAGATTGGCGGTTCGAATCCCCGTGGCGGGGTGCGCTCCTGTTGTTCGGTCCCAGCGCCTGCCAACCTAGCAGTTCGAAAGCACTCCTGGGTGCAAGTAGATAAATAGGGACCGCTTACTAGCGGGAAGGTAAACGGCGTTTCCGTGTGCGGCTCTGGCTCGCCAGATGCAGCTTGTCACGCTGGCGATGTGACCCGGAAGTGTCTCCGGACAGCGCTGGCCCCCGGCCTCTTGAGTGAGATGGGCGCACAACCCCAGAGTCTGGCAAGACTGGCCCATACGGGCAGGGGTACCTTTACCTTTACTTACTCCAAACTCACTGTCAGATCACATGTCTGTGGCCACAGCATGAACCACAAAAATCATATATCCACTATTTCATTTAGAATATTTTTTTTTCTTGTTTTCCTCCTCTAAAAACTACGTGCGTGTTATGGTCTGGTGCCTGTTATAGAGCGAAAAATACGGTATATATGAGAACTTACAAACTGTGGCTAGTTAGACCAATGGTCAGCCACAGAATTAAAAGGCAGTTCCTTGAGCATTTTGCTTGTAGCCTTCCATGTGTTTTTGGTCCCCAGGATGCACACATCCATTTTAAAACACATGACTTCCCCCAAAGACTCCTGGGAACTGTAGTTTGTTAAGGGTGCTGGGAACTGTAGCTCTGGAGGGGGTAAACTACAGTGCCCTGGATTCTTTGGGGAAGTCATGTGCTTTAAATGTATGGTGTACGCAGAAACTCCCAGCAGCAGAACCCAGTCAGGAATTATGGGAGTTGTAGTCCAGTAGCAGCAGCACGACCACAGGTCCTTTTTTTTATAAGAAGGTAATTCTATTTCACATAAACCTATTTAGATAGACTCTCCACATACATATCTATAAGGAAACTGTCTCTTAACAAATACAAAATGCTGAAATGCAAGTGAGATAAGGGAGGAAAAAGAATGTCTCCATGGAAAAGATGCCTCATGGTGAAAATTCCATGTAATTTTAACACACTCCCAGTATGTTTAATGGGACTTAGTTCCGAGTTAAGTGATTTTAAGTAGAAGAAGCCTGAGTAGGCTGCAGTCCTATGTATTTGGGTATGAGCAAGCCACACTTGCAATATAATCCTAAATGTGTTTACTCAGAAGTAAGTTCGACTTGCTTAGGATTGCTGCAAACAAAAACATGTCTGCATCCCCATAGGGATGTGCTGTAAGTTATTTCAGCAACTGAAATAACTTACAGCACATCCCTATGGGAGTTTATTTGGAAGCGAGTCTCATATGCAGTTGGACTTACTCCTGGGTAAGTGAGCGCAGAACGGCAGCCTCAGGGATGCAAGAGAAATAACGCCCATTGTGTCTTTGCGCCATTGAAGGGGTTTTCCACGGGTGGCTTTATAGGAAGCAGTGAACAGGTAAGTGATTTTTGTCCAAGATAAAGAGATTCTCAAAGCAACCATCTCTATATAGGCAGAAAAACCTCCCTGGGCAAGAAAATTTTCGGATAGAATCTTTATAAATTAAGCTGGAGTGTTAGAAGATCATTGCTCAGTGATAAAGCTCAAGGTCCCACGTTTAACTCCTGGTACTTTCAGCTAAGAACATGCAGGGGTAGGCAACCTAAGGCCTGGGGGCCAGATCCGGCCCAATTACCTTCTAAATCTGGCCTGCAGACGGTCCGGGAATCAGCGTGTTTTTGCATGAGTAGAATGTGTGTTTTTATTTAAAATGCATCTCTGGGTTATTTGTGGGGCCAGCCTGGTGTTTTTACATGAGTAAAACGTGTCCTTTTATTTCAAATGCATCTCTGGGTTATTTGTGGGGCATAGGAATTCGTTCATTCCCCCCCTCCAAAATATAGTCCGGCCCCCTACAAGGTCTTAGGGGCAGTGGACCGGCCCCCTGCTGCAAAAGTTTCCTGACCCCTGGCTAAGAGGAACGAGGTAGCGGTGCTTTAAGAGACCAAGCGTGGTTGTGCTATTAGGCGGGCTACTTCTTATATTCCCTACGGACTACATCTATGGCCACTGGCTGGGGGCCGCAGGCTGCTTAATCCGGATTAAGCGGTTTCAGCAAACCCTGAAACCCACGCCTTGGCGTCTAGTCCCCGCCGTGTGCTCTGCACCCTTGGCCAGTCCTAAAATCGAGAGGAAAGGAAAAAGAGAGAGTGGGAGGCGTGCGCTCCGACGGAATAGCCTCGGGCGCGCCGCTCCCTCCTCCTGGCCCCGCGCTGCTCTTGGGAGGCGTCGACGGCGCGGCCGCCTCTCCACGGCCAAACGCGGCGCTCCAGGTGGGCGCCGGGCGGGACGGGGCGGGCGCGCCGAATGGCGCTGGGCTCTCGGAAGAAACTTTCTTGGCCGAGGGGGTGGAGCGCCGAAGGGGCGGCGCCGAAGGGAAGCGGCCCCCGCGGCGCCTGGGCGCGGGCAGGGTGGCTGGGCTGGGTGGCGGGTGCTGCTCGTCCCGCTTGCGATCGCCCTTCCGAGCCGGATCCAGCCTCCGGGTGCCCGATGGGCTCCCCCGGGGGAGAGCAGGGGCCCCTGGACGACGTGTCCTGGCTGCGCTCGCTCTTCGTGGCCTGCGACGTGAACGGCTCGGGACGGATCGAGCGCGACGACTTCGGCGCGCTGTGCGCCGAGCTGCGGGTCCGGCCGGCCGAGGCCGAGGCCATCTTCCAGCGCCTCGACGCCGACCGCGACGGCGCCATCACCTTCGCCGAGTTCGCCCGCGGCTTCCGCGGCTTCCGCGGCGCCACGCAGCGCTGGAGGCAGAGGCAGCGGCGGCGGGACAGCGCGGAGGAGCCGTCCGAGGACGGGGCGGACGAGCCGGGGCTGGCAAATGCCCGCGACGTCTTGAGCCAGGCGGTGGCGGCGGCGATGGAGCCGAGCCAGGCTTGGCGGGACTTCGAGCAGCGGCTCGGCGACGAGGCCGGCTTCATCCCCAGGTAACCCCCGCCGTCGTCCCCTGCCGGACTGGGGGGCGAGCGAGGAGAAAACCGCGAGGAGGAAGGCGGGCAGGCAGGCAGGCAGGTGCAACCCGCCTCGGCGCCCGAAATGCCAGAACATCTGGGGTGTGCAGGGTGTTATGAATGGTAAAAGGGCTTCTGAGCATGGGCCGAGTAGCGTTGCCGGCCTTTTCCTCTCTGCCAGCGACTCACTACAAAGTAGACAACGGTAGGGATTCCTATGCACCTTTCCGCCTGGAAAACTTGTCCGCCTTTCAGGAATGATGGAGTGATGGGGAGCCTGTGGTCCTCCAGAAACTGTTGGACTCCCTATGTCTCTCAGCCCCCGTCAGCAGGGCTAGTGCTCAGGGATACAGAGAGCTGTAGCCCAACAACATCTGGAGGGCTGTAGATACCCCCATCCTAAAGTGTGCACAGGGACATCCTGCTTGGAAGAAGGCAGCATCCCTAAAGGCAGTTTACCTTTTGTCACGGATCAGCTTGTGGGGTACCATATTTTTCCATGTATAACACACCCCTGTGTATAAGACGCCCCCGTGTATAAGATGCCTCCTGTTTTTGGGGACTCAAAATTAAGAAAATGGGGGGAGATTGCCCCCGTTTATAAGACTACCCCCTTTTAACATTATTTTTTAGTAAAACAACCCCTAGTCTTATACACAGAAAAGTATGGTATTTCTTAGTTCTTTATTTGTGTGTCCTCCCCCACCTCATTTCCTCTGAAGAGCTCAAGGTAGCAGTCAGGGTCTCCCCCCCCATTTTATCCTTACAGCAACTTAGTGGGGAGAAAGAGTGTGACTGACCCAAGTTAGTTATTCTAGTGGACCTTTCAACCTGGGATTCCTCATTTGGCACTAGCCACTGAACAACACTGTCTCTAAGATAAAGGGATAAAGAGACAAAGCTTGTAAGTCAAAGCATTTAGTTTCTAGGCATCTTCTTGCAATTTCAGAAATTAACTGGTGGCAACGGCACACTCCAGATGCATTTTCTGTCCACATAAACATTTTTATGTGTGTTGTTTTTTTAAAAGAAAAGAAAACACACACACACAGCCTTTTCTCTGCCCCCCCCAATTGTTTGAGATAAAACATTAGGCAGTGGCAATCCAGTCAGGCTGCAATAGGACTTTGGGATGGGAGAGGGGGGAACCAATAATGCTAGAGGCCCTTAAGAGAATATTTTATGATGCAATCCATATCTTTGAAATATCCTGTGCTACAAGTCTGCAAGGTGCCACGTCGCTTCTGGACTCCTTTTTGTCCATTACTGCAGGCAGACGGTGCTACTCTCTTTGTGGGTTTCAGGTGTTTTCTCTTACTGCTTTAGAAACCCCAAAGCAAGCAGCAGTGGTTATCTGAAGGCATCCCAGTTCTGTAAAAGTTTGCAGAACACATTGCGAAGAAGAAGAAAGTGTACCTTGCCACTCCCTCCCTATTTTTGGAGTGGACAGTTGCTGCCCAGCTTACAAGGAAAATATTGAACACAAACAAATGACCAAATAAATCGTTATCTTTTATTGCATCTGTTCCTGTTTAGTGTTGGGGCTGTATTTACAACTGGAATAGCAAGGGTAGTTGTGTGGCTATTCAAGGCAGGGCAGGAAGTTCACCCTTGGGCTGCTTTGGCTCTTGTGAAAATACTGCCCCTTCCCCATCTGTAGATGATCCATTGGCTATAGCAGGCCTGTCCAAATGGCAGCCCTCTGCACTGGGGTAGGAGCAGTTTTGGAACAGGCTCTTCTCACGCCACACTCCGCGTCTTTTTTTGAGACTGGATATGGCACTTCCTATGACTTCAAAGCAGAGGCTGAAAAGCAGTCAGAAAGAAAGGTCGAATTTGGTATAAAGAAGTGTTTGAAACTCCTATTGTTCTAGGTACATTTTGTGACAGAGTTTCATTAGCGTGAGAAGTTTATGAACTCTGGGTGCAGTACTGCACTGTCCCTCAGACCTTGGGGGGGCGGACTATTTTTTTTTTGAAGGGGGGGGAATGAACAAATTCCTATGCCCCACAAATAACCCAGAGATGCATTTTAAATAAAAGGACACATTCTACTCACATAAAAACACGCTGATTCCTGGACCATCTGCGGGCTGGATTTAGAAGGCGATTGGGCCGGATCCGGCCCCCAGGCCTTAGTTTGCCTACCTGTGGCCTAAGATTTCAGATCAAAACTGCAGAGTGGAAGGAAAGGAGGACTTTTTCCTGCCCCTCCACTTCCAGCTACTCTCTGAAGTCTGGAGAAGAGACCCTCTTAAGAATATTAGGGGGTGGGCAGGGGAAGGACTGGACCATGTGAAAAATGAACATAATATTTTAGCTGTAGTTCATTCATTTTCAGCTTTGTTTTCTTGCTATATAAAAAAGTGTGCCTAGACATTCCATTGTTGCGCACATAAGCTCGGTTTAAGGTTCCATTTAGCTCCTAGCTTTCATATCTATCTCAAGTTTCTAACACTGGTATAAAGGCAAATTCATTCACTCTGCAGAGCAGTGAAATCAGATTTTTGTAACTGTTTTAATGTACAGGTTATCGGCCAGAAATAACTTCCGTATGTGAAATGATCAAAGCACCCAAAGGTTCCTCCCTATCTCATGGATGGTTTAAATTGGAGGCAGTCAGGCTTCTGAATACCAGTTTCTAGAAGCCACTGGAGGGAAATGTCCTTTTGTTCTTGGGTCCTACATCCAGTTTCCCGCAGACTTTTGGTTGGCTACTGTGAGAACAGGATCCAATCTACATGGGCCATTGGCGATCCAGCAGGGTCTTCTTAGGTTTGTGTTCTCTCCCTCTCCCCGTATGTATGACAATAACACAGGTTTCCATTCAGCTTGAACTGCAATTCAGTTTGGGGAAAGGGCATAGCTCCGTGGTAGAGCACCTGCTTTTCATGTAGAAGGTTGCAAGTTCAATCCCCGACAGGGGCTGGTAAGGCTGGGAGAGACGCTGCCACTCTGTGTAAATAGTATTGAGATAAATGGACCAGTGGTCTGACTCACTATGAGGCAGCTTTTTATGCTCCTGTGGAATCCTGTGTATCCTATGTAAAGGTAAAGGTAAAGGTACCCCTGCCCGTACGGGCCAGTCGTGTCCGACTCTAGGGTTGTGCGCCCATCTCGCTTAAGAGGCCGGGGGCCAGCGCTGTCCGCAAACACTTCCGGGTCACGTGGCCAGCGTGACGAAGCTGCTCTGGCGAGCCTGCACCAGCACAGCACACGGAAACGCCGTTTACCTTCCCGCTATAAAGCGGTACCTATTTATCTACTTGCACTTAAGGGTGCTTTTGAACTGCTAGGTGGGCAGGAGCTGGGACTGAACGACGGGAGCGCACCCCGCCGCGGGGATTTGAACCGCCGACCATACGATCGGCAAGTCCTAGGCACTGAGGTTTTACCCACAGCACCACCCGTGTCCCATGTGTATCCTATGTACCTGGGACTATTAATGTAATCCTGTGCATGTCAACTCAAGTGAGTCCTGCAGAGTTCAGCAGAGCTTACTTCCAGGTAACTATGTACAGGATTGCATCCTCAGGCCCATTGAACTTGGTGGGCTCTCCTTCTGAGTAACAAACACGCATAGGAAGTGGACTAGCTGGGCCTGCAACAGATATTGTCAAGAACGAGGATTTAGGCTTAGCATTCGTAATCCTGTGAGGTGATAAATTATCTTGTGACAAGCATATCGCATTCCGTGTTTGCCTTTATGGATGGGCCCTGTGTTTGCGCAGTAAGAAGGCTCTGTTTGTGATAGCTGATCTATGATAGCCATTTCACCCAACCATGCTGTGACGTGAAAGGCGCAGTGACCAAATAGTAACGGTGACACCCTGGGATGCCAGAAGAGGGAGTGGTCATGCTAAAGAAATGCCACCCTGTGCATTTCTGCATCGCAGGCTTCTTTCATCTGCAATAAATGGTTACCATTATTTTGCTTACGATGTTAACAGTTGGGCTTGCTGTTCTGAGTAAATTATTTGCTGTGACTGGCGTAAGGTCTCTTCTGTCAGATTTCAAAGGCCATTTTGCTTCTGCTGTACTATTGAACTTTGTATGACAGAGAACAGCAAAGGTGGGCTTTCTTTCCAACTGTATATAATAATTTATACTGCACTTCCTTCCGTATCTCCCAAAAGCTTTCCCCCTTTTGGCAGCAGGTAAAGCTGTTTGCCTGGGCTTCTGTAGGATACTATAGCTAGTATGGAGCTTCAGTTAAGGAGTCAGTGAGTGGCTCTAAGTGGTTTTATGGACTGTGGTTTTACCTGCTCTTTTAATAATATTGGAATTATTTATGTATTGATCATTGTACTGTACCCTGAGATCTCAGGCTAAAGGACAGACTTAGAAGTGTTCTTAATAGATAAATAAAACACAACCAATTAAAGAATTTTAATTAGCCACATAGGAAGAGATGTTTAGGTTTCGATTAAGGCTCCATCTAGGCCAGCAGTTCTCAACCTGTGGGTCCCCAGATGTTGTTGAACTACAACTCCCATCATCCCTGAGCTCTGGCCTTGCTAGCTAGAGGTGATGGGAGTTGTAGTTCAACAACATCTGGGGACCCACAGGTTGAGAAAGGCTGATCTAGGCCATGGGCAGGTAACCTGTCATATTGGAGTCCAGTTCCCATCATGGCCGCTGGTTGGGGAGTCCAGCAAGATCAAAAGGGACAAAGGGTTAGCCAGTCCTGATGTGGCCCAACATCCTGCTTTGGGTAGTTGTTAGTCAGATGTCTCCTTTATTTAAGAGCCATAGCTCAGTGACAGAGCATCTTATCTGCATGCAGAGGGTCCTGAGTTCAGTCCCTGGCATCTCCAGGCATCAAAGGTCAGATTTATGCGCTTTTCCAGATAGCAGCAAGAAAAAGCAGGCTGTACAACTTAGCTTAAAAAATGGTAAGAGTTTCTAAATTATTTGTACAGAAACATAAAGATGGCTTGCTAAAGCCATGTTGTCTAAGCTTGGAAAATCCACTT